GGAGAATTCATTGCATACACAAGATGATGTTGTCTTTAATCGCTGACTATTTATTACAAATATCGAAGCCTAATTAAATTTTCAGATTATCCACTGCCCGCGTCTTTTTCTGTGATTTTTATCTCAGAAAGTGTTGTACGTCTAATTCTTCATAAAGTTTATCAAAATATACATCAAGTGCTCAATCTCTGCGTGCAACCCTCGACGTCACGTGTGCAGACACTCTTAATCGTCGGGCTTTCGATTGGGGAAACCCTTACATTTTTGTCCTGTATATGCACTCCATGAGTATTTTTCATGGAATCCAGTATTTTTCTAGTAAGATTGGATATTTCTACTTTCCATATATACCATAATGGCCATACTATTATTGGAAATAACCACCTGATAAATACTTTTCTGGGAACGTAGCTTTAAATGTTCAGTGGAAGTTGTTTTTATCAGGACCATCTTCAGGCTGGTTCTCTTACCTCAGAACATTAAAGATTGGGGGTGGGGTTTACTCAGTGAAATAGTTTTACCTGGCCCCAAGTTCACGAAGCATTCTCTCAAAATTATTTGCCTTATATTTACTAAAATATAGCACTTTATAAAACTTTTGTTGTTTTAATGTATCAAATACAAGAATAAGAAAGAATGTGTAAAGTTTTGTGTTTCTGGATGAAAGATATTTCTCATAAACAGTGATTGAAAGTTGAGTAAATTCTCAACTTATGTCTGAGAATGGTTTGTAAACATGGGGCCTGATAGCAGGGTACTTGATCCAAAGAGCTATTTATTCATGCACAAGACAAGAAGTAGAGTTGTCTGCCCGGAGAGGAAGTGGCAGAGGAGGGTGTGGGGGTGTGGGCGGGGGGGGAGAGAACTTGTAGTCCATTTTCTTCTCACCTTAAAAGACACCAGCTCTCTAGCAGATTAATGAGCTAGGCCGATCTTTATACATGACAAAGAGTTGCAACGGTTGTGAAAAATACCTGATATTGAAGATATATAATGTAGGTATGTGTTGAAGCCCTTGTTACCCCTGCAAACGCCTTTGTAGATGTGTCTCTGCGGCCATTAACACCATATAATTGCTGCGACAAACATCAAAATTTATTCACATTAAAACTGGTATCTTAAACTTCCATTTGAATCAAAATAAAAAGAATGCTGATATCAGTTTGTTTCCATTAAAATCAAACATCAAACGGATCAAGATTTTTTTTGTGTTAATGTGGAATGACAGCAAAAATAGGTTAAAAACTCCAACAGCTGGAAGACATTTTATTTCAGGAAATAATTTTATTTATTTTATTCTGATAAACTGAGGATTTAAAAACATCGTGAAATATGTAATGATGAAAGTATTCCATGGTTTTTATTTTGTATTTCTTTGATAGAGTCGTGTTTTATTTGAACTATAAAAATTTTATGTGTAGATATCCGGAGGGTAGAACAGATTAAATGTTTTTGTTATGATTTTAATGTGTGTTAATAAAGAATTCAGTACAGACAGTTCAGAATCTGAAATGAAATGAAATGAAATGGGGTTTAACGGCCTACTGTTCTGCTCCGAACTGGGCTAATGAAGACAGCATATGCCATACAGTGTGCTATGAGGGAAATTTTGCCCGGACAGCGGCACTACAGCCTACTCTTACATCGAATTCCAAATGTCAAGGGATCTTTTACGTGGACGCCAATGTGTACACAGGATCTCGTTGAAATGAAATTTACAATTAATGATTATAGCGTTATTATGGATGTAAGAGTCTGGGAGATAAACTCCCCATGTGTAACTTGGGGTAGCAGGTGTGTGGTATGGTATAAATAAGTAACTGTTAATTACAATTAGTCATCTTATTAAAACTTGGTAAATTTAGAAATTACAGAAGCAATAATTGATCAATTAGTATAAAAAGACAAGGAAGGACTGAGATAGAATGTTTTAATTAACAGTATAATTATTATTAATTACTCTAGATATTGTCTGAATTTATTTTAAGATGGGGTAGCTAATTTTTGGAACCATTTTCCTGTTGATATCCTCTCATCTTTAATTATGATGACTTCCTTGTTCAATTACACATCTCTCTCTCTCTCTCTTTTTCTCTGCCTTTAGACTACTTCACTGGCAGTGGTGTCCATTTACTCATTGGCTGCAGCTTCTCAATCTATAAATATTGATGGGTGTTGAAACAGGGTATGCTTGCTCTTTCAAGAACACCCGATACCACTTTCTATATCTGAAACTCATGTCACTGATAATTTTGTTTATTGTGTGTTTTAATTGTCCCACATAAATGAGGAGTGGTACCAGGTGTTCTAAAAGTGGTATCAGTTGTTCTAGAAGTGGTATCAGTTGTTATAGAAGTGGTATCAGTTGTTCTAGAAGTGATATGAGTTGTTCTAGAAGTGATATGAGTTGTTCTAGAAGTGGTATCGAGTGTTCTAGAAGTGGTATCAGTTGTTCTAGAGGTGATATCAGTTGTTCTAGAAGTGATATCAGTTGTTCTAGAAGTGGTAACAAGTGTTCTAGAAGTGGTATCTGTTGTTCTAGAAGTGATATCAATTGTTCTAGAAGTGGTATCAAGTGTTCTAGAAGTGATATCAGTTGTTCTAGAAGTGGTATCAGTTGTTCTAGAAGTGGTATCAGTTGTTCTAGAAGTGGTATCTGGTTCTCTAGAAGTGGTGTCAGATGGTTTAAAAAAAACACGACGACTTGCCATTTCTTTAAATGGCAGCAAGTATTGTTTAGTATTGCAGAAAAGTAGGACATTAAACCCCATTTTATTTATTGGTAAATATATAGAAGTGTGTACAATGGGTAAGCCTTTAATGATACTGTTTACAGGTCTGTGTTTTGTCACATTGAGGAAGTGATGGTGGCCTGGTTTGTTGTATATAAAATAGGTGGAGTTGTACGCTATTTATTTCAATGTTTAGGAATGTGTCTCTTTCCGATGTTTAAAATAAAGAGGAAATCAGTGTAGAGAGAGATAGATGAAATATGTCTATAGTCTATATTATATACTGGTGAATTATTTATATATACCTTCTCTGGATTAGATCATTGTGCTATTGGATTAGATTACGTTAAATCAGATCTGGTGAGATTGGAGACAGATTTAATATCTGCACAGGTACCGTGTTGAAAGATGCATGTTTCTGTTTATTGTAAGACAAAGAGTTTTTGCTGAATTTGTGACAATTTCCTCAGAATTATTGGAATGTTTTTTGTGATTCAAAATAACCCATGTATGGCATTGACAAATAAAATGAAATGAAATGGGGTTTAATGTCCTACTGTTCTGCTCCAACTGGGCTAATGATAACGGGCATACACCATACAGTGTGCTATGGGAGAAATTTTGCTCGAACAGCACCGCCACGGCTTACTCTTATATCGAATTCTAACTGCCAAGGGATCTTTTACGTGCATGCCAATGTGTACACGGAACCTCAGTTTTTTCATACCATCTGAACGACGTGACAGTTGTCCTTGTCAAGCCTTCGATCCTGCCCCACTAACAAGGGGTAACCACATCGGAAAATCCTGATGTACTTTCTCGCCATATGGTGTTGACAAGACATTACACCATTACTTGGGACTAAAAGCAATATATCAATTGGAATTTAGAATTTTTGTATTTTTCATTCCAACTAGGAATTGTTGATACCACAAGACATCATGTTTTGTGTAAAATATTGAATTCTAGAATCAGTGTAAAAACCAATATTTATCTGTGTCCAATATTTTACCCGACATCAAGTTTGGTGTAAAGTATTTCAATTCCTGGCTAGAATCGGTGATATCATTTGTGTGAAAACCCGTATTTATCAATATATTTGTTATATTGGCGCTAAAACATCGGACACTTGGCGTTTATTGATGTATGTTTATTATGTTAAGTCTAGACGTAAACCATAGTAAATATGATGAATAAATATAAATTGTTAATCTTATATCAGACATGATTCTCATATTCATCATTGGGGGAAATTTATGACTTTTATTCCCCGAACCAATAATAATCTGAACATATAAAACTTTGTGACTCCAATTACATTAAATATATATTCATATTAGTATACATTATATTAGTATACATTCAGACAGTGATTACACTGTTTACAGTCAATATTTTCGTTATTAACCCTCCATTTGTCGCCTAAAACTAAAAACAATTCTCCAATAGAAAACACAAAAATTATTAAATCTGATTATGAGATATGCTGCTCAAGAAACAAAACCAGGTTGGATCTATTGGTGGAGCCTATTTTGATATACGAACACATATCCCACATTACACTATATATTTAAAACTCTAGATATATGAACACAGCACACCAAATACATCTCTAGATATATGAACACAGCACACCACATACATCTCTAGATCTATACAAACACAGCACACCACATACATCTCTAGATATACGAACACAGCACACCACATACATCTCTAGATATACGAACACAGCACACCAAATACATCTCTAGATATATACGAACACATATCTCACAGCACATACATCTCTAGATATATAAACACAGCACACCGCATACATCTCTAGATATATGAACACAGCACACCACATACATCTCTAGATCTATACAAACACAGCGCACCAAATACATCTATGGATATACAAACTCAGCACACCACATACATCTCTAGATATACAAACACAGCACACCAAATACATCTCTAGATCTATACAAACACAGCACACCAAATACATCTATGGATATACGAACTCAGCACACCACATACATCTCTAGATATATACGAACACAGCAAACCAAATACATCTCTAGATATATAAACACAGCACAACACATATTTACATTTAGATAAACCATAAAAAATACATGTCATCCAATTAACATTAATATTTTATCGTTAATTACATATAGACTCTTTGTGAATTCTTTGAACTGAAAGTCTTTTACCGTGAACAAGAAATGTTTTGCTGTAGATTGAATATTTAATATTGTTTGTATCTATTTGTAGGAAGCAGACTATGGACAGTCAGCTTTACTGTGAAAACCATGTCCCAACACGACCGCAAACAGTTGTCCACCCGGCAACCACAGCAACAGAACCAGAAGATGGGGTAAGTCACAAGTTTCAAACTACATGTATCCATATCAAATGAGTAAGGGTTTAAGGGTAACAAATGTGTTTTAGCCCTTTGTTAGGATTTTATTCTGCACAGCCAAGCATTTTAGCTCTTTGTGAGGGCCTATAGTTTCTTTGTGAGGAACTAATTCTGGACAAATAGACAACTAAGTGTTTTAGCCCTTTGTGAGAAACTAATTCTGGACAATTAGGTGTTTTAGCCTTTTGTGACAAACTAATTCTGGACAACTAAGTATTTTAGCCTTTTGTGACAAACTAATTCTGGAGAACTAGGTGTTTAGCCTTTTGTGACAAACTAATTCTGGACAACTAGGGTTTAGCCCTTTGTGAGGAACTAATTCTGGACAACTAGGTGTTTTAGCCCATTGTGAGGAACTAATTCTGGACAATTAGGTGTTTAGCCCTTTGTGACAAACTAATTCTGGACAACTAAGTGTTTTAGCCTTTTGTGACAAACTAATTCTGGATAACTATAAGTATTTTAGCCCTTTGTGAGGAACTAATTCTGGACAACTAGGTGTTTTAGCCCTTTGTGACAAACTAATTCTGGACAACTAGGTGTTTTAGCCCTTTGTGAGGAACTAATTCTGGACAATTAGGTGTTTAGCCCTTTGTGACAAACTAATTCTCGACAACTAAGTGTTTTAGCCTTTTGTGACAAACTAATTCTGGATAACTATAAGTATTTTAGCCCTTTGTGAGGAACTAATTCTGGACAACTAGGTGTTTTAGCCCTTTGTGACAAACTAATTCTAGATAACCAGGTGTTTTAGCTCTTTTTGAGGACTTAATTCTATATAGTTAGTGGTTTTGTGAAGAAAACAGTTCTGGAATAATTCAAGAGTACAAGCTGATTTAAGGTCTGACATTATTAATTCAAGATACAGACTGGGCTTTTTTGTATACCAATATAATTTTGTTTAATCTTATTTTGGCATCTTTTATGGTTTTCTGGTTGCTTAAAGGGATTTCATGGATTGGTACATTGGGATAGTTAGACAGAAACCTTCCGGTGCCTCCAGCATAAGAGTTGTCTTGTGGCGCTGTATTGTCTTTTTTTTATTATCGAATGACAATAGTGGCGTTGTTATTATCCTGGCTATGTCTGACTCGTGCCCTGTAGGTGGGTTCTCTGGTTCATTGTTCCTGATATCTCTACGAGTATAATATGTAGGTTGCGTCTTTAAGTATAAATTGCTGTGAGTAAAAACATATTACAACCACTAGAAGTCTCGATGGTTAGGGATGTCTTTTGAATGAAATATCCCAGTACGTCTGTAATGTTAGATCGTAAAGAACAAAATTAGACAATGGTAACATTCTGTTAAACAAAGTTTCACAAGATTCTACAAACTGAGCAAGGGCAAAAATTTATGAAAAATTAATGGGAATTTTTAAAATTCGATGGGCATCTTTGTGTCTCTTATCTGAATAATGGATGTTAATTTCATGAGTTGGATCAGATGATAATAATTGTCGCTAGAGTGCTCACAAGAACGGGAGTCAGCAATGTTAACTTCTGCAACAATTAACCGAAATTGTTGACATTCAACAGGCTTCTTCATCTAACTAGCTAATTTGAATGATTGAATGATATCTTTTGTCATTGAAGCGTTCATAAGATTATACAATAATGACGGGTAATAACTCTGGACGCTATTATCAGAAATTGTGGACAACGGACAGACGAACAGATAGACCACTACAGCAAGATTCAACAACATTTAAATGTTGGGTAAAAAAAAAACGTGAGATAAATCCATGGACACCTCATGAGACAAAACATGGAAGCAATGAGAAAATTTCAAAACATAAATATTTGAAACTGAGAGCTAATTGAGATGAGTAACTTATTGCTTTTTGTCTCTAAATAAGTTTTTCCCTAAAGATGAAATGAAATGGGGTTAAACATCCTACTTTTCTGCACCGACTAGGCTAATGAAGATGGGCATAATATGTCATAACAGTATGTTATCAGGGACAATTTGCCCGGACAGCGTCGCTACGGGCGACATTGTATGATATACCGGCATGCTGATAAGATTATATTTTCTGAAACCATTGAATGTTACAAGGGACAATTTGCCCAGACAGCGTGTGATATACTGGTATGCTGATCAAATTATATTTTTCGAAACCATTGAATGTTTATGATCATCATATTTTTCAGAATTCTGATTTATTTGAGATGTTAGAGAGATTACAGGGTACAAGGATAGACGATCAACGCTGTGCTTTCTTTGAGGTGAGTTATATAATATCCTATCATCTACTTCTGATAATATCAGTAATATATTCGCTGCACCTGGGGATTGAAGCTTGCTTTAAAAGCTTTATTTCAACTAATAAATGGGTGTGCTTATCACAGGAGCCATTTTGAAAAGTCTTTGAGCTTTTGAGATTTTTTTTAGATGTATATTACTGGAATTTGAAATCACAAATATTTAAAATTATTCAGATATTTCAAAGTTACTTCAGTTATATTAGAGGAAAAAAAATAAGAAACCACACAAATAAAAATGGAATTCTTTTAGAGTTCGACTTTGGAGGATGTGTACCTAGTGTTAAATATGTCCGATACTGTACAGAAATATATTTGTGTTTTCAAAAGAAAGATTTTGTCGATTTGCGGAGTCGTAAATTGAAATATAGCTAAAATGAAAATGCTTAGAATTATTACAGTATGTTGGTCCAGGGCAACGAACTCATTAATTCAAATTATTGTTTTATCACAAGTTGTGAGACCTTCATTAACATTAACTTTCAATAAAAGACAAAAAGTAAAAAACTGAAACAGATCTGTGTAAACCTGTGATGAAATATAATTATTAAGGACTGTATAAACATCATAAAAACATCTGTTGCGTCATTTGGTTCAATCCTTTTTTCAGTCGAATTTGTCAATCATCTTGTCTGACTTGAAACGATCTCGACTATCTAGAGAATCTATCTGTTAGTCAATTTACCCAATCTGATTAAAATACAGATCTATATTTCGTTTCGTTTTTTTATACTTTTGATGGTCTACACTACATGAAGATCTGACTGGTTGTTGTATCAGGGGTCGTACGAGTGTCTTTTGACCCTATGACGGCAGACATTGATTAATCAATCAGCATTGACGTTCCTAGTGGTTTACCCACAGTTCCAAAAACTTGCATAACAGACCATTTCATTGGCTAATCCCTCACTTCAACTTGATCTGCGTTATATAACAATTCTTCCAGATTCTAGTGTTGTGAAGACAAGTAAAACGAAATTTTTAACTATAAAAAACGAAACGAAATAGGATCTGTGTTTTAATCAGATTGTTGATTTACCTGGCATAGAATTACAATTTCAAAGAATGTAACTATAAAACACAATCGATACAGGTGTATTTAGAAAACAATTGGAATGATGTTAAGAATTACCATAATGGTTGAAAACAATGTCTTTGTAATATGTGAAAAAAATGAAAACCATAGTTAAATATCTATAATTCACCTCAACAACATCAGATTAAAACTGTTGTTTGGTTAAACTTATCATCAGTTCGTTGTCCTGGAAACAGCTTTATTAACAAACTTGTCAATTTTTGTTTTTATTTCTGCACAAAGAACTTTTTTCTATTATAACCAATTCTTAAATTTTGTTTTTTTATTAGAGACTAACCAAATATATATTTTATATTTTAAAACAAATTGTATTTTCTATCCATATTTTTTATTGTTATAGTTTCCATACAAATTTTTATGAATTTATCAGATTAGCAAAGGGTAATTGCTGAAATGAAATAAAAACATTTGCATGACATTCAGAACGGTGGCACTATAGACGAGCGGTAATAACGAGTGTTCAAGTCAATCAAATTTGCACGTTAGTTTATTTGTGTCTGGTTACAATGGTGACAAAGTTTCCATTATTTTTCTCAAAATAGAAAAACAAAAACCATTATCGTTGAGCAAACTTAAAAACGAACTAACTTGAGTTTATTCTGTTAATCGTGAAAAACCATGCAGAACTATTTGAAGTCGGTTTCTGCAGTGTTGAAAGTTGTTTGTATGAGGTTTGTTGGCAAGGAAACGTTACAATTACCCAGTCTCAGATATCTAACAGTGCTAGTTTATAAGGAATTATTCGATTCCCTGGTTGTACGTGATAAGGAGTAGGGTCGCATGTCCAACCTCGTGGGTTTTCTCCAGGTCCTCTGGTTTCCTCCCACTGCTAAAGACCCCTATGTGCAAGCTAATTATTGAAAAAAAAAAAATTGAACTATGTGTTAGTCCCGAAATGACCTAGTTTGTGTCAAGTGGATGTTAAACCCCATTTCTCTCTCTCTCTCTTTATAAGGAATAAGAATTTGGTAAGTTCCAACAGGAATTGATATTGTGATGAAAATAAAATAGAAAGAAATGTGGTTTAACATTAAACAGAACATCTGGCATCAGCACTGTAATTGAAGACAGAATATTATGGACAAAAGCGTAAAAGTGTGATTTTAAACTTCTTACTTTTGTATGGAAACTAAGCATCTACTAACACTTTTTTTGTTATTTTTAAAAACTTTTTAGGGTCCTGATTTCTTCGACACATTATTAAAATATCAGAGTGCCCGTCTGGACGATCAGAGATGTTCGCTTCCATCTATTCACAGTTTACCACAGGTCTCCACATTAATCTTTCCTCCTCTAGTCTTTCCTCCATATCTTTCCTCTGGATATTTCCTTCTGTATCTTATCATTCTACCATATTCTCCTGGTTTTATCAGTTTATAGTATATGCATGGTTAAAATATTAAAGCATGAATAAGTTTTATTTTATTCGCGGTTCATTTTCAATATTTAATCTGCATGCTGCGGGGGTTCTATTCAGAAATCTATTTTACTTATCTTGTATGGAACGTTTTTACTGAAATGATGTAAAATGGTCATTGTAGCTTGGAATCTTTGTCTCTGATGTCAAACGTTTAATCAGTGCATTTGAACGCAATATTTGAATGACCAACTTCTAAGATCAGTTCTACACTTTTTGTATCCATCCAAACTTTACTGAGCTACAACATTTCGGTCAACTGATTTCACTTCAGAAACAATAATTAGATTTTTATTCATCTTCGCTAACATTTTGCAGAAATTGCATCTTTAATTTGGACAAATAAAGCTGTTTGTCTGATGATTAGCATGCTGTGTAATGGCTGTGGGTAAAATGCTATGAATAATTTTGAATTTTCTAATGAGCTATGTAAAGAGTGTGAATATTCTCATCATTTTGACATCATCATGACCATTACATAATCATGACATCATCATGATCATTATGCCCATTACACCATCATTACCATGACATCATCATAATCATGACATCATTATAAACATGACATCATAATAATTGTCATATCATTAAAATAATGACATCATCTTAATCATGACATCATCTTAATCATGACATCATTATAATTATGACATCATTATAAACATAACATCATTATTATTGTGACATCATTATAATCATAACATCATTATAATCACGACATCATTATAATCATGACATCATCATTACTTCATCATATTCATGACATCATCGAGACATCATTATGATATACTAATCATTTACAGTGCAATCATCTCCTGTATTGTATATTGGCATGTTTGTATAAATAAGTTCAATTATTGTCATGTTGGTGAAGTGATGTTATGGATATCTATTTACAAAATAAAATATTTCCAATATAATCAACCATCTTTACACGAAAAACATTTTGTAATAATTAAAATTGGATTGAAAAACATAATAAACACACTCAAACCACTTGATTTTAATAAAATAGAAAACTTTTTGTGTATAAGAAAACATGGTTGAGTTGTAATAGTTTTGTTATTTCACATGCAGACTCAAAGTAAAATATTTATGAAGATTTCTGATATTTGTAAAGATGTAAGACAAGATATGTTGTTTGATGTTTTTGTTGTTTTATTTTTAACATATCTTTAATGTGTGAACTTTTTTAACTTGCAGGTTCGACCAGAACCAAAACATATTGAGGAGGAAAAAACATTAATACAAGAAGTGAGTTGAGAAATGTTTAGATACTTCTTGATTAATATGCTTATCTTAACTCTTAAATGACCCAGGGGTTTGACGTCATAACGTCATAAAAACCCACGTCATAATCGTCAATAGTGTTAAAATATACATATACATTTTAAAGTCATATCATTAAAAAACAACTGTAGATAGACCCTACATGTAAATGGATGAAATAATCTAAATTTAATGTTATTTTCATAAATATGAAATTTAAACTAAAAATTAATTTAGACATTTCATGCAAAATTCATGTATATAATGGTTAGTTCTATTTTTTTTTTTTTGTTCAGCTGTTGTGAACTAAAAATCATTCATCATGAATCTCTTTTAATGTGAGCTTATTTAAGTAATTTGTTGATTTAGCCTACTTGCTTCTATCACTTATCAGTAGGCCTATTATGTTCTAACGCAAAACTATGAAATTCTACACCACCGATAAAATCTGAATCACTGTCATTCAATAAGGATGGTAATCCATCGTATAGGCCTAGACATATCACCTTTTCAATATAGTTTTTCAAAAAGAAATAGTAAGATTTTCAACTGTCAAAATGTCAAACAGGAAGTAAACAAACGAGAAAAAGTCGTCTGTTCATAAGGGAAGTAACTCACATTACGCTAAAAATGTTGCATTCGGTAAACTGGTTTTGTCGACAAAAGTCACCGTGGGTTCTTAGCGGTAACGTTATAGGCGTCGACAAAAGTCTCTGTGGGTCAGTTAAGAATTAAGGGTGGGATTATTACAACTCTTAAAGGTTAAAGGAGCTAAGTCTCTAACTCAATATCATCCAAAATCTTCAACATTTAAAACACGAATTATTTGTCAATTTAAAACAACATTGATGCTGTGATCTTACCGGAAAAGGGTGGGCTTCTGATATCCAATATTTAAGACAAAATAAATATTTTACCATTGGTACACGAATCGTGTACCATAATGCGTTTCAGCCCCAGTTCTAGCAAGAGACTAGAGGAACGAGGCTAGACATATTGCACCAAACCAAACGGCTTATGTAGACTGGAATTTGCACTTGTTTGAGACTGCTGGCTTATTTCACGGAACATAACTGATTTGAAATTAGAGTAAAAACGGAAACGATTGAATGTAAATCAGTTTATATACATTCATATTACGGTATTATATGAGTTGCGACCCACTTGTGTCAATTTCTAGGTCCCAAATATTAGCGATTTAGCTCCTTTAAAGGTAGTACTATTTGTTGTACTTGTTTTTTAAGTCCCAATAATCCACAGAAGCTTATAATTGACATTTGAAACGGTTTAATCCCATCCTACAAATCAAATTCTTTCTATACCATCATATTCATCAGTTTTATGAGACGTCCAGAAATCAGAAGAATGGTGTACAACAGTGATCACTCTGGGTTTCATTTTTTTCGCCAATTTGTCATTTTTATTTATTAACCATATATTTTTTTACGCCCAAATTTTTGTTACATTTTTACTTTCAATATAAATAGACCGGGAGCCCAGGGGGTCAACCTGGCTGAAAAGTGTACCAATTTTCTCCTATATGGTATCAATGTATGTATATCTGGTATCATCAGAATGTAAGTCTAGCCATGATCCCCATCTAGGCTAGATTAGCTCAAAAGTGTACTACATGAAAATCGCACAGCAATGTACCGCAAGTGAATTATTGAAATAAAATTAAAACCATATGTTAGTCCCGAAATGACCTAGTTTGTGTCGAGTGGACGTTAAACCCCATTTCTCTCTGTCTCTCTCTGATTCACTTATGGAATAAAACATTGTTTTGGTAGCTGATCTACCTTTTCCAAATGCACTTAAAATTTTGTGCTTTTTGAAATTTTTCTCTGCCGCAGACTGGTGGTGGTGGTGGCCTAGTAAAATAATCTGACACTTTTCTATTATTATTGGACATTGAAGAAGACAGTTCAATTTTTCACTTAAGAATGATTTGATATTTTTATTCGATAATGACTGATTTTGAAAACACCAAGAATATATATTCATTTATAAACGGTAAGAACAGAAGCTTTGTGACAAAAAACAAATTTGGCAGAGTGAATATTTTATCGCCAAAATTATATTTTTATCGCAATTGGCCGAAATGGCAATCGCCAGCATGAGCCTTGCCGTGCGAGGCAATAACTTATTGTCTTATTGAAATATAAAATCTTATATGATTATATTATCAAGGCGTCTGTCACAGACATTGTCAGACACAAATTCAGACTTTGTCAGAATTAATCTCTTTGGTTCCTGTTTTTTCACCAGTTTTGTCAATACACATTCGGCAGTAAGGTTAGATTGGGAGTATAAGAGTGCTTTACAAAAGTAATTATTTCCAGACATGATATCAAACTCAGAAGTAAAATCTTATATATAGATATTAATTATTGTTATTTCTTTAGAAAAAAAACCACTGCATAATTAGTCGAACAATGATTAGAATCAATGTGTTAATATCTGAAAAATTTTATTATAAAATGAAATTAACGTCCTACTGTTCTGCTTTGACTGGGCTAATGACGACGGGCATACTATCATACACCATACAGTATGCATAGATGACAGGCTTAATGATCTACCGGCATGCTCTGAACCACTGGGTCAACCATGAAATGAAATGTTGTTTAATGTCCAACTATTCTGTTCCGACTGGGTTAATAATGATTGGAAGTAGCAAAAAAGCTCTTTATGAAAATGAGTACTGTGATATTATTTGTCCACCATAATATATAGAAATAAAGAGCTACACCATTATACATAGTTATAATTATTGTAGATATTGAAGAAACCTGGTCCGTATCCTATGGTAGTTATACCGGAAGGTGTCGGGTATTGGGTAGATGGAGCGGATCATCAACTTCCTGTAAACTCAGACGGCTCACCAGTCCTACAGAAATATGATCCTAAACAAATCACCATAGAAACAGATGAAACAAGTATTTGTTATCGACAACATTTTCTAGGGAAGGTCAGTATCGTTATATTATACTTATGTTTTGAAGGATTTTAAACGGTAAACACAAGGTTTTGGGGAGGATTCAAGTGCTATTATGCCTCTGTCAGACTGGGTTGGCGTCCTTACTGCGCTGCTGCAACCATACAGTGACCAGAAAATGTGAGAAAAAGTAAAAAAAATCACAAATTTGAAAAAAAGTCGCGTTCTCACAGCTTTCCAGGTATGATCGAAGAACCTTCACGTTTGTTTTGAACATGCTCACAACAAACGCTCTGACTCGGCTATCATTGACAACCATGGAGACCACAGAACGATTTCTGGCGTTTCCACCATGCTTTTACCACGCTCCTGGCGATCTTGATGCTCAAAGACCATTTTCCGTTGCCGTAGCAGCACAGTAAGGACGCCATCCTGGTCTGACAGGTTTATTAATCTCTTATCCTAATTTGAGGAATCCATCACAAACTACAATATTGTGCCAGCTCTGACTAGGCTAATGAATACAGACATACACCATACAGTGTGCTATGAGGGATATTTTGCCCGGGAAACGGCACTATGGCTTGCTCTTATATCGATTTCCAACTGCCAAGGGATCTTTGATGGAAATTTTGTCCAGACAGCGCTACAGCCTACTCATATATTTCAGTATTTACAAAGATATGATTGGTTGAAAATTTTCAGCATTCTACATACTTTGTCTATACCATCTGATGCCACATCTCTCTGTGTATTCGTATATTTGACGTTGTAAACATGTCAATATCCTTATATTAATTCTCTTTTTTTATTTGTTAACTTTCAGGAACATTTTAATTATTATGCAGCTGATGAGAGTCTTGGTCCCGTCGTAATGTCTATAAAGGCTGAGACTAATCCAGAAGCTATGAGAGTTATTTTACGGTAAATATACCAAATCTGGATTTCTGAAAATCTTTTATACGAGGACGACATGACCCCACAGCCCACGGTCGAAGCTAGCGGGGGTGGGGGGCAGGATTGTGGGGTGGGGGGGTGCAGCCCACTCAGCTTTTGTGCAGGGGTGAGGGGCAGCCCACTTAACTGTATGGAGCACCGGGGGTAGGTGGGCAGCCCACTCAGCTTTATGGGGCACCGGGGTGGGTGGGTGGCCAGCCCACTCAGCTTTATGGGGCATTCGTACTGATATGAGCACGTTGGTCATTAGCTTCATATTGCATCCAGTGGAAAGGGCTATAGTGCATTAAATACTTTTAGCGTCTGTGGGCAGACATTTTGAGGCTCTACAGACTATAAATTTGTATAACTCCCACTGAAACCATATATATATATATATTTAGTAACTGGGTAGATAAATAAACTATAACACATACTTATGGAAAAACAGAGATACACTTCGATACGTCGCCCAGATAAATGGAAAACCAGCTACTGATTTATTTAGGCGACGGTTCGAAGAGTATTCTTAACATTTTCAAGTACTCTTTGAAACTTCGCCTAAATAAAGCAGTAGCTGTATCCATACGTTTATTCATACATATAGCTATTAATTATGGTACACAAGGCAGGGTATGACATTTTAGGTGAATTTGTGAAAGTTGTATTAATATTGGATTGATAATTTCAGGACTAGATTTGCTGTACACCATGAAATACTTCCTGTCAATAAAGTAGAAATTCCTAATCCAGCTAAAATAGCAAAAGTAAGTCTGATTGTTGTGATCAAAGAGAGACGGAGACGGACGGACACAAACTAGGTCATATAGCGACACAAACTAGGTCATATAGCGACTACCATAGGGTTCAATTTTACTTTAATGATTAACTTGTGCGCAGGGGTCTTGAGCATTGGAAGGAAACCGAAGGACCCAGAAAAGGCCACACAAGATTGGACAGGCAACCTTACTCGGGTCTCGAGGTGTTAAAGTTCCATATGCGCAAGCAAATTATTGAAATAGAATTGAACCATATGTTAGTCACAAAATGACCTAGTTTGTGCTGAGGTCATTAAACACTCTTTCTCTCTCTCTCTCTCTTGCGCTCTCTCTCTCTCTTGTCATGTATGAGGGGATTGGTTTGTGTATTCAAACACTGTGCAGATCAAGCTTGATTTTAGTGTTTTTATCAAAGTGATTTAGGAGCTCTGTTCCAGTATTGATAATTCTATAATCTATATTTTCTTCTATTTATAGGCTGTGTGTGATGATATAACAACAGAAAGATTTCATCCAGTTTTATCCATGAAGGTAAAACTTCATTATTTATAAATTTATAAAACATAATTAACGTACTACTGTTCTACTCTGACTGAGCTAATGAAGACGGACATATGCCATACAGTGTGCTATGAGAGAAATTTTACCCGGACAGCGGCAATATGGCCTACCATAATATCGAATTCCAACTGTCATGGGATCTTTTATGTGCAAGCCAATGTGTACGCGGGACCTTGGTTTGTCATCCCATCCGAATGGCTAGACAGCTGTCCTTGTCGGGCCCTCCATGCTGCACCACCGTAAAGAAAATTAGGTAATGCTGAAAATTGTTATATTATTTTGAAAAGATATGTTGTAAAACGGAAGTACACTGGTAAAATTTTGAAGTTTAAACATTTTGGACTGACGTGTGCCTACGTGATTGTGTTGTAATATTTTTCTATTTTATTTTCTAGGGTTCTGAGTTAATAGTTTTATATGATGAACATTTATTAACCAGTACATTTAAATTTGGTCTCATCTATCAGAAGTTCGGTCAGGTAAGTTTGTTGTAGATGTTTTGTTCTGGATCACCTTAACCCCAAGACCCCCCCTCCCTTTCTATGATAGATCAGCTGATGTATCACATCTTATTTTACTATCTGATATAACATGTCTTATTTGTTCATGTATGATAAGTAGTTAGTGCAATAGAGTCTCAACAAGATGATTCCTGGTTTATGTGTATCAGGAAGAAATTCTGTTTGGGTGGCTGAATGGTTAACGTGTGCGCGTTGGATCAGAAGATCTTTCATTGTGGCATGGTTTCGATTCCCCGCTTGTACTTGACAAGGAGCAGGGTCGCAAGACCAATATGTTCAAGTGAATTATTGAAATAAAATTGAACCATGTGTTAGTCCCGAAATGACCTAGTTTGTGTCAAGTGGGCGTTAAACACCATCTCTCTCTGTGTGTGTGTGTGTCTCTCTCTCTCTCTCTCTCTCTCTCTCTCACTCTCTGTTTTGACTGGTGGTTGTGACATGTGGTTTTGAAATATTAAGAGCATGTGGAAATGGTGCTGTACCAGCAATATTCTCCCCCCTTGTATGACACACAATATGTCAGATATAACTGCATGTTAGTCCCACAACGATCTTGAGAAATTGTCTATGAGACATTAACTCCACATTGTCATCCCTACAGCTGTGAGTCTAGGTTCATCATGTTAATTATATGCTTATTTTACTATTTTAGACAACAGAAGAAGAATTATTTGGTAATGTCAGTCACGGTCCAGCCATGGAAGAATTTCTAGATTTAATCGGTGACCATGTTTCACTCAAACATTTTAAAGGGTAAACATCACAATTTTTCTTGTTTAAACCAGCGATCTTAATCTGCTGTTTTTTGTTGGCTTTGACCCAGTTTCTAAGAACTATTGACACGTCAGTTTGTTAAAAAAAATTCCACGGGCCACATTTAAACCCTTGGTGGGCTGGATCTGGCCAGCGGGCTGCATGTTTGACACCCCTGGTATAGACCAAACCAATTTCATTTGGTTACACTTACAGATAAATTTAGATTCAAAATAAATATTTCTGTCAAAGTTTTGATTCAGTGCTGAAAGTGTGCTATGACTTGATGTTGAAATATTTATATTATATTTTAGATTCCGTGGTGGATTGGATACATTACACGGTCAGACGGGCCTGGAATCGTTGTATACACATTTCAATAATCGTGAAGTCATGTTCCATGTGTCTACTATGTTACCTCATACAGATGGCGATCCTCAACAGGTGAGTAACTCTGTAAATAATTTTGATGGACGATCGGTTGATTTTCATTATGGGTCCATGAAATCTGAAAAATGATTTTAATCTGCAAAGTTTCCATGCGTTATCAAAAATGACAGTCAAATTTTGAAGTAGAATCCCCGATATGAACTGTATCTAGTAATGTATACATAATGTCGTTATTGAATAAGAGAAGAGAAGCTATATCCATATATACTTTGTGTTGTGTTTTCTTGTGGGTTTCTACTCCGGAATAATCACCTTTTCAAAAATGAGCGACAGTCAAAATTTGATGTGGAAGCCGTGATATAAACTATATGTTATGATATATTTCTGGATATAAGTTGGGTTTTATATACGGTCTCATGTATGGAGTTCATTATGTCAAGTTATGTTTGTCTATCTGGTTTAAATCTCTCATATATAATGTCCTGTAACCTGTGTATATCTTATTTTTTTAAATAAGTTTAGTATTTCATTTTGTCTGAATTTTACACTACAATAAACTGATTAAAACACAGATCCTATTTCATTTCGTTTTTTATGGTTCAAAATTTTGTTTTACTTGTCTTTATTTACTACACTAGGATCTGGAAGAATTGTTATATAAGCTGCATTCTGGTCAATGTGATGGATTAACGAATGTCAGTGAAGCAGAACGGAGGGCCTGACAAGGGTATCTGTCTAGTCATTTCTATGAGACGATAAACCAAGGTCCTCTGTATAAATTGGCATGCACGCTAAAGATCCCTTGGTAGTTGGAATTCGATATAAGAGTAGGCCATAGTGCCGCTGCCTGGGCAAAATTTCCCTCATAGTACACTGTATGGCGTATGCCTGTCTTCATTAGCCCAGTTGGAGCAGAACAGTAGGAAGTTAAACTCCATTTCATTTCATTTAATGTTACAATTATGGTTTCCAAAAAAGAATTCTAAGGTAGTTCATATTAAATAATTTCTCAAAATAAATGTACCAGATAATGATCAATTATTTTCTGGATGATTTAGATAGAAATTGGAATTTATAAATACTTTTATTGACTTTTTCAGCTTCAGCGAAAACGTCACATAGGCAACGATATTGTAGCGATAATCTTCCAGGAAGAAAACACTCCGTTTGTTCCTGATATGATTGCTTCCCATTTTCTACATACATATATCGTTGTTCAACCAATAGATTCTAATACGGACCATACTAAATATAAGGTAGGTTGTTCAACTATACTTTGTACCTGGTAAACTATCTCATCATGGCCATGTAGTATGAAACGTCAAAGCGATCTTGAATTTCAAAACATGAAAGTAATCCAGAAATTTTAGCAACATTGCTCATTACATGATTTAGCCACAATTCAGGTCTGGTCGTGTAGCAATAAAAATCACACAAATAATCAGTCTGGTAATTTTGGAATTGAAATGTCTTTAAACTTGATGTCTTGTTAAAGTTTCATTTCAAACCCTTAAAAGATAAAATTTGATAAGCATATCGACCTTGTGCCCTATTGACCTGGTGGAATATTGACCTTATGACACTTTGACATGGTGGCATATTAACCTGGATATATTGACCATGTGGCATATTAACCTTTGCCCTATTAAACTTGTGACATATTAACCTTGTGCCCTATTGAACTTGAGACATATTGAGCCATGTGATATATTAACTTTGTGGTATACTGACCTTTTAACATATTGACCTCGTGATATACTGACCTTGCACTATTAACCAGGTGACCTATTGACCTAGTGACCTGATTAAACAGGATGATGTATTATTTCAGGTATCTGTGACGGCCAGAAACGATGTTCCTACTTTCGGACCATCATTGCCTAATCCAGCAGTATTTGAAAAAGGACCGGAATTTCGTGACTTTATTCTGACCAAACTAATCAACGCGGAGATGGCGTGTTATAGAGCAGAACAATTCGCTAAACTTGGTGTAAGTTATTTACCTTGATTTCTTTCTCAATATAGGAGAGGGGTTGGATCACCAGTTCAGGCCTGATAATAAGGCCTGTCATTGATTAAATTGTGGGGGGGTGGATGGCCGAATGGTTAGCACGTGCACGTTGTATCAGAAGGTCTGTCATTGAGTCAACTGGCTTGGTTTCGATTCCCTGCTTGTACATGTAGGAGAAGGGTTGCCTGTCCAACCTCGTGGTTTTCTCCGGGTCCTCCAGTTTCTTCCCACTGCTAAAGACCCCTGCACGTAAGCGAAATATTGAAATAAAATTGAACCATATGTTAGTCCCAAAATAACCTAGTTTGTTTTGTGTGGATGTTAAACCCTATTTCTCTCTCTCTCTCTCTCTCTCTATCTGATTCAATTGTTGTGGTTTTGATTCCTAGTGGTCTGATTTCCTCCCACTGTTGAAATAAAGATATATCTGGCTCAGTAACCAGGAGGTTCTGATAGGGGAAAGTGTCTAGTCATTTGTATGGGACAAAAAACAGATCTATGTTTACCGTTGGCAGTATGTTAAAGGAGTCAATATCATCCACAGTCTTCGACATTGCAAACACGATTTGTCGGTCAATTGATGTTGTTATCTTACAGTGAAAAGATGGGGGTCTGACATCCAATATGTAAGATCAAATGAAAATTTTAAAATTAGCACATAAATCGCGTGCCAGAATGCTTTTAAACGCCATAGTGCCACTGTCAGGGCAAAATGTCCCTCATAGCACACTGTATGATATCAATGTATGCCTGTCTTCTATGGACGTCATGGTGCATATTATCAATAAGATGCTAAACCATTTATTATGCACCCACGTTTATTATTACTTGATGGGTTGTTACTCTTAATGGGTTGTTAGTCTTAATGGGTTGGTTGTTACTCTTAATGGGTTGGTTGTTACTCTTAATGGGTTGTTACTCTTAATGGGTTGGTTGTTACTCTTAATGGGTTGTTAGTGTGTTGTAAATGTTTTCATTACCGACAAGATATGTGACAACCCTTGTTGACAGAGAGGACGACTTAGCTGCTGTAGGCATATGTTTCATGGGCTGGCAACCAATCATTCATTTGTTTGTAAATTTGTTTTGATCTGATTACAGGAAAGAACGAGATCATCATTATTAGACTCGTTATATCAAGATTTACAGAAGAAGAATTTTGAGATGTTTGGGGGCTCGTTTTTATCGGGGTCTAGCAAGGAAGGGAGTCGATTATTTGACACTGTTAAACGAGCGTTTAGTGGTAAGGGAAGGAGTCAGTCATTTGAATCGAGTCTATCAGGAAGTCGACGTTTAAATGGAACACCGTCATCGTTACCAACTGTAGGTGAAGATGATAAAAGTCTTAAATCACCTGTAAGTATTGTTATTGTTTTGTAATTGGACGTTCCTATCTGAATATACATAACTGTTTTGTAACTGGACATTCCTGTCTGAATATACATTACATTAACTGTTTTGTATCTGGACGTTCCTGTCTGAATATACTATAACTGTTTTGTAACTGGACGATAATATTTATAACCAACAATAAATCTATTTTTTATTTTTCAGGTGAAAAAGTCTCCGTCTAATTCTAGAAATGTTGCGAAACAATTTTCAAGTTTAGAGAAGAAAAAAGATAAAAGGTGGGATTTTACTTTGTTTTTGGGAGGGATTGGTTGTCTAAAGTCCTGCAGGGCTGCTTTGTAATCTTCATCTTGTTGTAATGGTGTTTGGTTGTATGCATTGTCTAAGGTGTGGAACAGTAATTCTTGTTCTGTTGTCATAGTGATTTGTCATACACGTCTAAATTCTGTTTCTATGGCGATTGTTGCTACAACCAGGATTTGAACAAATGTTTTTTTTTGTATATTTCAGTAATCGTCTAGATAGTCAGAGCACGAATTCCTCATATGCTACATGCAGTACACCACCTAGTCCACAATCTAGTCCAGGCAGTATATCTTCTTCTACCAGGTAAACACATTCCCATAATACACACAGTAGAGTTATCTCACCTTGTTCAATATACACCATAGAGTTATCTCACCTTATTCAATACACACAGTAGAGTTATCGCACCTTATCAATCTACACAAAGTTATCTCTCCCTGTTCAATACACACAGTAGAGTTATCTCGCCTTGTTCAATATATACAGTAGGGTTATCTCACCTTATTCAATACACACAATAAAGTTATCCCTGTCTGTTCAATACACACAGTAGAGTTACCTCACCTGGTTCAATACACACAATAGAGTTATCTCACCTGGTTCAATACACACAATAGAATTATCTCTTCCTGTTCAATACCGGTACACACAGTAGAGTTATCTCACCTAGATTGATACACACAGTAGAGTTATCTCACCTGGTTCAATACATATAGTAGAGATATCTCTCTTTGTTCAATAATTATCGGATGTTAGTCCTAAAATGACCATTATAAATGTGTTGAATTCATTTAAATCTTAGCTGACCCTAGTCAACTTTTGTCGACACCTATAACATTACCGGTTAGCAGAATGCACGTTCCTAGCATATTGAGAGTTGCTCCCCTTATAAACAGACAATTTTCACTCATTTGTTTACTTCCTGTTTGACATTTTTACACTCAAAAATCATACTGTTTCATCGTGAAAAATTATAATAAAATGGTGATATTGTCTAGCCCTACACAAAAATGATGTTCTAATCATGGATTACCATTATGACATGGTTTTTATGACGTCACGACGTCAAACCTCTGGGTCACTTAAGAGTTAAATCCAGTAGCCTGACCATTATAAGTATGTTGAATGCCTTTAAATCCTGTAGCTGTGCTGCCATAGTAATTGTGTTGAGTGGAAATTAAATCCTTTTCCAGTCTTTTTTTTAAACACAGTCATTACCAATTGTCTATTATGAATTTTATATGTTTTAAATGCTCTTTAAAAACTTAGCTTTTAAGAAAATGTTATTCAACATAATGCGCTTATGTCTAGTGACCAATTAATGTTTTTAAATGTTTATAAACAATATTTACAGTGGTTTGATATTTTTTAACGTAAATCGCTATATGAAAAAAAATTAATTATTATTATTATCCATGAAAATATTGTCTTCTGATTTTCATATATACACCTTTTATGCATTTTTTGTTGTTTTTGTTGTTTTCAGAATAAATAACAGTGGTATTCAGATCTCTCCATCTAATTCTGAGAGTAGTTTTAACAGTATTGATGACTTTACGCCAACAACACCCAACAGTTATAATAATAATACTAAAACTAGTAATAATAATAATAATAATAATCACAGGCATCCACATCCTCATGATCATGAAGACTCGGATACAGGCATGGTAAATATACATTTTAATTATTTATTTATTTATTTTTGTAAGAAGAGAGAGAGAGAGAGAGAGAGAGACAGACAGACAGACAGGCAGACAGAGAGCAAAAGGGAGAGAGACAGAGAGAGACACAGAGAGAGAAATGGGGTTTGACTCCACTTGACACAAACCAGGTCACTAGGAAACCGGAAGACCCAGAGAAGGTTGGACAGACGACCATATTCCTTGTCGCATACAACTGTTGAATCGAAACCCACGCCAGTTGACTCAATGACAGACCTTATAATACAGCGCGCATGTGTTAACCATTGGACCATCGAACCCCCAGAGCTCTAAGTGTATCTATATTAAATATATATTTATGTTACAGGACAGCATGTCGTCGACAGGTACACCTAATAACGTCATCCGATCATCCATATCTAATACTTATAATGAAGATGGTAGCTGTGTTTTCTCAATGGATGCTGACAGTAAGATTATTTTTATTCTATGTCTCTCTATTGATGCTTACTATTTATTTTATTATAAATTTCAAGAGTGCTAGAGTGCTTCTCTATTGCTAGAGGGCTCTTGTGTTGCTAAGACACTCCTCGGTTGCTAGAGTGTTTTGTTGTTGCAAGAGTGCTCTATTTTGTTAGATTGCTCTTGCTAGAGTTGCTAGGATGCGCTTCTGTTGATAGGATGCTCTAGTAGAGAGCTCATATGCTGCTAAAATGTGTTCAGTTGCTAGGAAGATCCTCTGTTGCTAGGATGCTCTAGTAGAGAGCTCATATGTTGCTAAAATGTTCTTCAGTTGCTAGGAAGATCCTCTGTTTCTAGGAAGCTCTAGTAGTGTGCTCATCTGTTGCTAAAGTGTTTGCCTGTTGCTAGGAAGCTTCTGATCTGTTGCTAAAATACTCTAGTATTGTTAGAGTGCTCTTCTGTTTTTAGGAAGCTTCTCTGTTTCCAGTGGGCTCTTCTGATGCTAGGATGCACCAGTAGTTCTTGAGTGTCCTTCTGTTGCTAGGATGCTCACTGTGTTGCTAGAGCGCTCCTCTTTTGCCTGAGTGCTTCAGTGATGCTGGTAGTGCTCCTACGGTTAGGACTTTTTGTTATTCGAATAGCCGTAGCTATTAACCGGTTAGTAACCGTTAACCGTATGGTATCAATTTTAAACATAAAACAGAGCTTGTCAGGTGGTGCGAGTCATTCATTACTCGTGCGCACGCTATACTCGCCTAAAAGGCATTACTACACGCGCAAAAATTTCAGTAATTTTTTCAGACATGTACAATTCTTTAATGAAAATTTAAACTATCTAAGGCCGTAGTTATTTATTTACCTGGTTAACTTGGTTCATTTGAAACATTTTTTAATTCAATATAACGATAATATACAAAACAATACTCTATTTCCCTTCGTACGTGACAGATGGCGATAATATTACGATTACACAATGTTACTAAGAATAGAATAAAGTAAATTAGAAGGCGTCTATTGATTGGACAATAAAGAAATAATTCCTCGCTTGCAAGTAGAATTTTTATGATTGGTTAATTTAACTAAAAACCAAAGTAGAATTCTTGCGAGAAATTACGAGATATGGAACGTGTTGAATGTCATAACGAATCTAGTATGTCATTTTCTAGCCTTTATGATTATATTTTGAATGGTGGTTACGTTTTGAAGTAAATAATAAACAAGGTAGAATATAGTTAGAAATGCCGAGAAGTATTTAGATTGGATTAACAATAGCAAAAGTCAGAACAAGGTCCGTTGACTTTGCCGTATGACTACGACGAGTGCTATTAATAGTATTATTTTTTAGCAGTCGACATCGTAGGACGACTGTTACATTCTAAGATTTTCAAACATCAAATACAAAATGACAACGGGCAAGTTTTGTTATAAAGAGGAATATGATCAGACACAACTCTATGTAATGGGGGACATCTCAAAATAACCGTACCGTTGAATTCGAAACGTTTAACCGTCCAGTTCAAACCGTTTACGGCTATCCGACTAGTCGTAGGAGCACTAGATGCTGGAGTGTTTTAGTCCTATAGGCTATTACAGTGCTCACATGATGCTCTATTTCTGCTTTATTCAAGCTTTGCTTCATATTTTTTCCAGGTATTGAATGTTATATCAGACACATTGAAAGATTAAAAGCAGAGATTCATAAATTAAAATGTGAAAAATTGGATTTGCTCCGTCAAAATGTTGTAAGTATTATTGCTTCATGGTTTTCCATTAGTTAAGTAGCTTCTTAGCATTAGACATGGCTTCTTAGTATTAGCTATGAATATATATATGGTTTCTTAGATTCTTTAATCCAGGAACTGGTTTCATACGTTTGATAATCTTCTTATTGACACTCTTCATAAAAAGCCTAAGACTCCGTCAATTAATAAAATTGCACTTTGATTCATGGACTTTAATTTTTGCTAAGACATGACAGTTCTAAAATTGATGCGATGATATCATGGTTGGTTCCTGGTTGAAATAGAATGATCGTACTTGTTCATGCAAATATCTTCTTACGATCAGTAATTCAAAAGTTTTGAAAAATATTTTTGATACTATTGTAACCTTTCTTATATACACTGTAGTCTAAAACACAGGCTCCTGTTACGTGCGTAAACATTTCGTTAGTCTTGACGTAACGCTATGTAAACAATGTGGAGCTCTGTTTATACCCGAATGACATTGTTACGGAGTTAGGCATTGGTTGTTAATCGGCTTGTTGACCAGTCATAATTTGGAACAGAAATTTGCTTTCGTTACGGCAGTGTTTGAGTGGAATTAGGTCTAATCAAACGAAACACTGCAAGGAGTATACCACCCCTGCAATTGTATAAAACACCTTTTTATCGTCCTTTAGTCGTGACGATGGGGAATTGTGATCGAGGAGCCTCGTAGAGGGCCTCTCTTTTATCTACATCTGGTGCTGACTGTCGTCTTGCCTTAATGTAAGTTTGAGTAAGATAGTGCTAAAAGATAAGGCCAGCTAAATTTTTTCGTCATAGGTCACGAGATGTAAACAGAGCTAGCGCTAATCCCAACCCTAAACCTAACCCTGGACAATGTTTACCCTAACCCTAACCCACAATCTCGCCAACTTTTACATACCCTAACCTTATTTACATCTCAGCGACCGTGACAAAAATTGAGCTGGCCTTAACAAATAGATTTAGCCAGTGGGATCTTTAATAAAGTATTTCTTAACATTTTATTTTCAGTCAAGTCAAAAGGAGATAAAGAAATTGCGTGAACAGGAATATCGTTTAGTGAATGAACTTGCCACGGCAACGCATCAACTCAAACACATGAAAATACCACTGATTGAAATTAGTGCTGAGGCCGCAGTTTAAACGGGAAAAATAATTTGATTATTTAAAAAAAATGTGAATGTTGTTATTTGTTTTGTTAATGGTTTGTGAAGATCCTATTTTATTTTATCTTTTCGTGTTTTATAAAATTAGTGCTGAGACTTGAGACATACAAGTGAATAATGACTCAATAGATAATTTAGGTCATGAATAAACTGTGAAATGTATGAACCCTGCTGCACCAATCGGGTGAATGAACTGTGGAGATAATACAACTAGGCCGACAACAGATGAACATTGGATGTTTTTTTTAATCCTTGTAAAATTATCGTGCGTCTGAATGAAAAGAAGTGCAACAGGTTTTCTGGACAGAAAGTTCTGTTTAGGAAACCCTGGCTTCATTGGACAAAGTGAAATTTCCAGATTATTTCCAAATTATATTTTAAAAGTGGCATCAGGTGTTTTGTAAGTGATGAATAACAGGTGAACAAACAGGTGAACAAACATAAGAGACTGAAAGTTTCTCTAAGATTGGATAACGATGAACATATAAACATTTATGTTAAAGAAAATGTTTTGTCCGAAAGAATTTCATTGGAGTGACACAGAATCCCAAGTTCCGATGTGGCAAGACATGACTTAATCAAATACGTGAATTACGTTTCACCTGTTGTGATTGGTGGAGATAGTTTCATATTCAGTCGCCGTCTGCTTTCTCGCCCAATAAAATAAGCTACCTGTAGGCCTAGCTGGTTGAGTGTTATCGTCTCGATATCGTGTAGGCCCATTTGAGAGTGATCTTCTCAATATCATGGAGGCCCATTTGAGAGTTATTGTCCTGTAGGCCTTCCCAATATCAGGTGTATGAGTGAAATCAACCAGATTGCCTGTATATGAGAGTTATCTTCTCGATAGCCTGTAGGCCTATATGAGAGTTATCTTCCCGATAGCCTGTATATGAGAATTATCTTCCCGATATCCTGTATATGAGAGTTATCTTCCCGATAGCCTGTATATGAAAGTAAACCTTATTAACTACTTTACCTTTTTAATTATAAATACAATCCTGTTGATAAATCAAATTCTAACAAGTGTGTGCAAGAAATGTGACTATTTTTGTTAATTCAGAAATTAAAATGAAAATGTGTATGTATTGAGAAATTTCTTCATATGACAAAACGTGTATATACTTTATTGTAACACAAATTGGTGCACAAGATGAAAAAAAGAAAAACTGATTTCAAAAGCTATGTGTGAGGATGAAAAGAAGTGTGTACATCATCCATTTTTCATGGATTCTGTAGAATTAGAATTCCTTAAAATGGATATAAAATAATCTGATTTATAAGATTGTTATGGTTACAGATAATTAACGGACATTTATTGAGTGAAATATTTGTATTGAGGCAATAATTTTATTGTTAAGAATGGGTAGCCTACAGTTAAAACGTTTATTTTCTAGAGAATATTACAAACGAAGGCCTACAAAAAATGTTCTCATGAACAATGATTAGATTATAATATGGTCACAGGGTTTAGAATTTATTTTATTTGAACATGGTGCATATTAAATATAATACATAGTGCAATATCAAATAATTCTACTGGTCTTTATATCGACATGTAACACCTGAACTACAGACGGAGGTGGGAACAACGTATCCTGCAACTCTAGCTGCCTCAAGTTCAACTTATTTCTCACGACTTGAGTCGCTGTGAGAGGATATAACTCTAACTTGCTGACTAATTAATTTGATGAATTGGCATTTTGAACACGACTTGGGCTTTTTGAAGATTTGGGACTCGACTCAGACTCGAAGAGCTTCAACTTGGGACTGCAGGTGCCACGATTTGTTCCCACCTCTGCCTACAGACCTTTCAGACGGATGAGATGTCACAATCAGGGTAGATAACTCTCCCATGCATGTTGTATAATTATCGAATGTATACATTTTCTTGTATCAGTCTATTAAATAATTATTATATGGATTAGATACTCAAATTGAAAATATTTAGTAAGGATTCTGAATTCTGAGTGAAAAAAAGAATTAAATTGAAATTCTGAGAATATCAATATCAGTGTATAGTTCAGAATGAAATGATTCTTTTAAACATACATTATGCAAGAGCTAAATCTGCCTATTGCAGGTCTTTCTTTAGGCCTGAAATGTTATCTAAATTATTAATTAGACATTAACTTATCCAGACCATAATCAACTCCAGATGTCCCCGCTAGCCTGCGATATTTAGTGGATTAGGATCCGATTTGCTGCTCACCTTTCATTCATGATTAAATCATGAAATGGATAATCGAGACTATGTTTTTATCGTACCGACTTTTGTAATGATAATCGAGGCTAGGCCGAAAATTCAATCGCTAAATTCTTGGTAAAGAGTGGATCAATCTGACTGAAATTTTCAGCAAATTCCCTTTACATTATCTAGAATTTAATTATAATAGTGAAAACTGCCAGCTCTTTATGTAATCTCTCATAATGTATCTTTAAGCTAGTATTACAAATGTTAAAAATGAATGACTATGTTGCTATGGTGATGTAAAATGTAGATATTTTGAATATTATAGGTACCTGTATTAAATCATAAATTAATTATTTTGTAGATAAAACTTGGTGTAGATAAACAAATTGTAGATTATTATTAAATTCCATTCTAGTCATAAATTGTAATTAATGCTTATTATTTGTTGTTTGTTTACGAGTTTCTGATGTTAAGAAAACCTTGAGATTTCAAATTGTTTCAAATTAAAAGTTTATTATATTTATTATTTTACGAGGGTAGACGAGGGTAACACCCTGTTTCAGTGTTTGCTTGCTAGGCATTTAATTTTTATTAAAGATTCATGGAAGTGTCTATAAATTTCTTAATTATGGTGCTTCTTGGCAAGATTCTCCTTTAATTACAAAAGGTCCATGTGCCTTTATCTTTTTTTGTTCCGCTAAAAATATTCCCTGCTTATTTCATGTTTAAATCAAATCATTTTAAAATCAAGAAAAGGCTCAAGTCAAAATATTTCTTGAATTTATCATTTTGAAAAAAAGGATAATTGTGTAAATATTGTAAATGGTTGTATATAGATGTAAATTGTTTGTAAATAATTATAATTATATGTTCGTCTTAGTTGGGTTTTAATCTTTCACGTCTCCCAGACTTTCTGCCAAACAATTTATATTTCCTTCTCGGTTTATTTCTTGATTGAAGTTTAACAATTTTCTTGAAATAAAACTCAGGATTGTTGTTTACAATGACAAAAGAGAGGTTAATTATTCAAGTACTAGGAATAAAATTGCCGCGTGTCTCGTTCGATTCTTTGATTGTTAAATGAACAATAAAGTTTCACTAAATTGGAAATTTGAAACAGAAAAAGTTTGTCTCTAAAATAAAATTCAAGATTTCTTGGTTTTTTAAGTATTAATTTGATAAACTTGTTCTTACAAAATATCCACCTATGTCACTTGATATTTTCACAAATTGTTGTCCTTTTTATTATTTTTGACATATTAGATTCCTTGATGTAATCATACTTTGCAAAAGCTGACAAATAAATCTTAAAATTTACAATTTTTTGATGTAATCCATACTTGACATGACAGAGGCTGTAAACGAATGTACCGTAGTTTGATTTTGAATGCAAAGCTGATAAAAACGACCCAAAATTGACGGAAATTAAATTCATTGGAAAAAAGTCTGGAATATATGAAGATTTTTCTCTTCTTCATTGTTTTTTGTGCCATAGTAAATTTTAATTTTCTATTTTTTTTTTTTTTTTAATTCGTTTAATATTTAAGACATAATTGTTTTGTTAAAGATAAATATTTAATTTGATCTTTGTCCACCAAGATTTAAACAAAAATTATTTTTAATAAATCAGCAGAGGATAGAAATTGTAGCTAAAATATTATCACAAAGCTAGCTGAAATTTAAAAAGTTTAAGGTATTGCAAATAAAGTTCAAGATTAGGGATTATTTTATTCTAAGAAATTTTTCATTATTTTTGGCTTATAATTTAGATATTGTGATATTTGATTAAATAACAAAAATAAATAAAGTTCCAGATTAGGAATTATTTTATTCTATGAAATTTTTCATTATTTTTGGCTTATAATATAAATATTGTGATGTTTGATTAAAATAACAAAAATAAATTTAAAAAAAAAAACAACTTAAATTTGTCAAGATCTTAAAAAAAAAATTGTTAAATTATAATTGTTCATTGATTGAAATTTAAATAAATTTTAAAAAATTGTTTGAGCTTTTATGTACTGTGTTTATTATTTCTTAATGATCCAAGTTCACCTGATATCCCAGTCTTAAATCAGTTATTATCGGTATGAATAGTATTGAACATATGTTTTAACCCAGAAAATTTTCTAATTTGGTAATAAAACCACAATTAAACATACATTATGCAAGAGCTAAATCTGCCTCTTGCAGGTCTTTCTTTAGGCCTGAAATTTATTAACATGACAAGACCATAATCAACTCTCCGATGGCATCGGATATCTCCGATATTAAGTACATTAGAACCATTCAGCCATATTTTGATTTAATCTATAAATGGTGAAGCGAGGCTAAGCCTCGAACAACCAGTGCGGTGGTTGCAATTAATGCACACATCTTGTCAAACCATCAAAAGCTAATATCTTCGCTCGCCATGGATTAATTTTAACGAAATTTTCAATAAATTCATTTTGCATTATCTATTTTCGAACTATTATAGTACGAATGGCCAGCTCTTTATCTAAATCTTACATAATGTATCTTTAATATAACGTTTGGACTTTGAAAAAATAAGATGCATGCATTGACTAACATGTCTCAAAGATTTAAAACATACTGGTAAATTGAAACATCAAAAAGGAAATAACACTGTCGATGATCAATAAAACATATAGTTAAATGAATGAATCTATAATTGAGATATTGAAGAAATTCTTGGTAATTCAAGAAATTCTTGGTAATTCCTTATTTAAAGTCGCTGATTGTCGTATGCTTGTTTCGGACAATATATAATCGGTCACATCTTAATCCACGCCAAAATATACTATATTTAAGAAAATAAAACCCAAATAAAAATGGTAGATCATTTTCTGATAAACAGACAGCTTTAATTATATAATAATAATTAATTTTCATATAGCGATTTACATTAGAAAATCCCAAACATGAGAGTATCCTCATTGAAACGTTGCAGTTAATAAATCTAGTGAATGTTATCCATAAAGTTGTCTGTTTATTATATATCGCGTTCACTAAATGCCTTTCAAAGACAGATAATCTTCTGGCATGGATTTAATTGGATTAAAAAGAGGTCTTTCAAAAGATAATACCCAATACCTATAGGTGCCACTGTTTTGTTTATATCGGGGAGGCAGAATGTTGTCAACTTTTCAAAATTGAACCAATTTTTGACTGATCTTCATTTTAATGATTCAATTTTTACATATGACCGTCAACGACTTTAAGATTTAGAAGTACATACTTTAATAAATAATTTAAAACAGGGATATGGACAATATGATTTAATATTTCTTACAAATTGTTGTTAAATTAAGGGAAGCTTAAAATGTCTGCTTTGTTTATTTGTTGTGTTTTTTTTTTTTTGAATATTAAAATAATTTTTACTGTTGAATATATTGACGATATATTTCTATCTGTTATTAATTTATTATATTTCTTTGTGCGTTAAAAGGCATAATGATGATTATCTTGTGAATTGTCCAATAAAATAAATAAATCTATTTATATCTAGATGGTTATTTATTTGCGAGGGAGATGTATATGTTTGGTCTGGTGAGAGAATCGGCAGCCACAGTAGCTCTGTGAGTAGGCCTACCTTTCGAGATGACTTACTAGTTGGTTCAGAATTGATTATCTAGATTGGTTATTTATTTGCAAGAGAGATCTATGTTTGGTCTGGTGAGAGAAACGGCAGCCACAGTAGCTCTGTGAGTAGGCCTACCTTTCAGGATGACTAACTATAGCTAGGTGATTCAGATCTGATTATGTGTTGGTCAAGATAGTTTTTAGAGGTGTAGAATTGGAGTACTGGAAAGAAAAGTATATAGTCGCTTGGTCCCATGTGTGGATTAAAGGAGCTAAATCGCTAATATTTGGGACCTAGAAATTGACACAAATGGGTCGCAACACATGTAATAATGTAATATATATGAATGTGTTTAAACTGATTTACATTCAATCGATTCTGTTTTTACTGTAATTTCTACTCAGTTATGTTCAGGGAAATACGCCAGAAGTCACAATCGAATGGCAAATTCCAGCATCTGGTTATTCCAGTCTGCACCGATAGTATTTATTAGCATGCTCTCCAGATAAGAAATGGGGTTTAACATCCACTCGACGCAAACTAGGTCATTTCAGGACTAACATATGGTTCAATTTTATTTCAATAATTCACTTGCACATAGCGGTCTCTAGCAGTGAGAGGAAACCTGAGGACCATGAGAAAACCCACGAGGTTGGACAGGCAGCCCTACATACAACTGGGAATTGAAACCACGCCAGTTGACTCGATGACAGACTTTATGATACAACGCGCACGCGCTAACCAAATAAGCTGAAACAGATCCTGCAGGGTACAACAGTGTCGGATAAGCTGAAACAGACCATGCAGGGTATGAGAGTATCAAATAAGCTGAAATAGGCCCCAACAGGATAGGCCTACATCTATGTCAATCATCTGCTGTATTGTATTGATTGATGATAATATTCAAGTCAGAATGTTACTGTTCCTTCATACCTGACAAAATACTACCAGGTATCTTCGAATTGTTTGGTTAGAACCGGCTGTGGTAACTCTCTAGATATTAAACAAAACACAAATTTCCTGACAATAATTCTAGTTTTAAGTGTAAGGGAAGTAACTCCAGTTACTGAACAATGAATAAATAACATGTTACCAGCTGAAATGAACATTTTAGAAAACAGTATATGGGCTCAGACTAGCAATTATTTGCCCATTGACATCAATGTTAAATGGCTGTAACATCACAGACTGTAGCTTTTTGCTCAAAATTCCGTTGGTTCCATTCTTTATAGACACAATGGGGACCACATTTGGCAATCTCCTCATCATAATTTTGTAGGGGGTTGACCGTTTAGATTTTTTGAAGTTGACTGGGGTGAAAATCTCACTTCCGACACAATGATTGCTCTTCAGAAAGACACTTTACACCCTCTATCCCTTCGCTCTAATATCATCAGTATTACCCAAAACTGCTATGAAATTGCAAATTTTATCCCTCTTCTCCAATTCTAGACCAAAAAGTCAACCAAAAAATGCAGGAAGAGGGGAGAAAAAAATTAAGGAAAAAATTGTCTATTTATAACTTGCACTACATTCGTCCATCATGAAATAAAGGGAAATAATTACTAGGCTGAGTCCATATGTAGGATATGGCAAGTAACAATAAATTGGCCAGAGTAGATCATTAATTTCTCCATGGCCATTAACTCTAATGTTACTTCTCTTTGACCATCTCTAACTTTCACAAATTGCTGTTGGGTTAAGTCACTTAAGTGCTTTCTACTACAGAGGCAACACCATTTGGCAACCTCTTGTTCAAAAGTTATGAGGTTCACCATGGAAATCTTTAGATACATAAACTGGAAGGAGCATACTAGTGAACATGCAACTGTTCACCCTACATTTCAATATGAAAAACCTCTTAACTCTGTTAACCTTTCGCTTTCAATTCATTAATTTTCACTAAAACCTGGCAAAAAATGTATATTCAAATTTCAAACCCTTTTTAATAATAATCAACATGCAAAAGGGTGAAAAAGGGGTAGGGGAGAAAGACTATTAATAACTTTTGCAGTATGGGTAACTAGTGTAGGAATTAATTAATGGCGCATAGAATAACAGGGTTATCAGGTTGGCTACGGTGATATGTACGGCAACTAGTTACATGTTTTTAGTATGCTTCTTCAAGTTTGTGTATCTAAAAATTTTGGTGGTCAACCTCATACATATTTTAGTGCAAAGACATGACCATTTGGGGATATTTGGGGAAAAGTTGGAGGTGGGCAAAGAGACCAGAATTAACATTAAGTCAATGGGGAAATTAATGGTGGTCTGCCTCCATTAATGTTAGGAGTTATTCCCCTTGATTGACATATTAATTCCTTGTTTATCAGTAGTGAAATCTTTCAAATAATAAACAAAGAATGATTATTAACATTTTAACTATTTTATTCAATTCTATTTGTTACATTCAAAAATATTCTAGCACTAAATAAATCATCCATCATATTTTTCAAACTTTATCAGATTTCAAATTTCGATTCGCTAAAATATCCACATAAAATCCACCTCTTCTTGACAACTCCAACTCGGACTTAATGAATTCCTCAGCGTTAAAATCTTTGGCGGCTTTAGTATAAGTCGCCAGATGTGCGGCAAATATTCTTTCCTTTTTCTTCTTCAGCTGCTGTGTCTGAATTCTCAATTTGAACAGATTAACTTTCCGAAATTTCTTAAGTAAATGCTTATTCATTTTTCTGCGTCGTATTTTCATGATATTTCTGGCGAATTTACCTGTATTATCGTTCGTATTTGGAGGTGGAGTGGTGACGTTTATTTTTTTGTTAACATGGGGAGCAATGATATCTTGAATAGTCTGTATAGAGGTCGGACAGTCGTACTGACGTTCCACGATATTACGATCTAATATAACAACATTAACCTTACTGCTTGACGTCGGACACACATACTCGGTATTATTTATAACGGCAGATAATTTGAAACTTGGAGAAGTAATTCTATTTAATGTGGTCGCTGGATTAAATGTGGTATATTTCGGTATATTGAATGAACTATCAGTTTTGTTTGCTTTATCACACGTGACAACAGAAGAAATGGATTTGATGTTATGCTTTATTCCTGGAAAAGACAAAACAATGAAAGTACATTTTATACATGTATGTAACAAGATAATGTTAATGAAATGAAATTGAAATGAAATGGGGTTTAACATCCTACTTTTTTACTCCAACTGAACTAATAAAGATGGGCATACGCCATACAGTGTGTTATGAGCTAATTTTGTCAGGGTAGCGGACAAATGGCCGACTCTTATATCGAATGGCAATATATACACAGGACCTAAGTTTTTCGTCCCATCTGAAAGACTAGACAGCTGTCCTTGTCAGGCCCTCTGTCCTGCACCAATGACAAGGGGGAACCATGCCGGGAAATCCTGATGAACTGTCTCTGCCAATGTCTCAAGTTGTGCCTGGTGAAAATGTTTTGGAACTACATATAGTACCATAGTTCTTTAAACATACATTATGAAAGAGCTAAATCTGCCTATTGCAGGTCTTTCTTTAGGCCTGAAATGTTACCTATATTATTAATTAGACCTAAATTAACTTATCTAGACCATAATTAACTCTTTATGCCATCGTTAGCCTGCGATATTTAGTGGATTGGAATACATTTTTTGAAAAATAATTTAACGTAAAAATGGATAATCTGGAGCTATTTAATTGAAATTTTAAACATATTCTATTTACATTATCTATTGGTCAATTTAAATCCACATCATGTGCCATAGATGCGTTGTGACCCATTTGTGTCCATTTCTAGTTGCCAAAGAAGAAAGATTGATCTCCTTCAACGTCTGCTTCCATAAAACAGATATCACAGGCAATTGCATTTATGCCATTTTATACCATTAAATACTCTGTGAAAAAAGGGCCTATTTCCATTTTGATTGATCAAATTTTTGAGGAAATTTATATAGGGGTGGGTAGCCATATCAGATTTTTCTGGTAAAAGAACTAGTTTTGTTCTGATGTGAACTTTTCAGGCTGCATGTCTCACTAGTCTGGAGGTCGGGTGTTCGATCCCGGCATTGGCTGAGAAAGTTCATCCAAATTTTCCGGCGTGGTTCCCCCTTGTCAGTGATGCAGGACAGAGTGCCTGACAAGGACATCTGTCTAGTCATTAGGATGGGAGGCGAAATTGAGGTCCTGTGTACACATTGGTGTGTATGAACATGTAAAAGATCCCTTGACAGTTGGAAATCGATATAAGAGTAGGCAGTAGTGCAAAATTTACCTCATAGTACACTATATGGCGTATGCCCGTCTTTATTAACCTAGTTCGGAGCAGAACAGTACCTCATTTCATTTCATTTCAGGCTACATGTACATGATGGCACAGTAGAGGTCTCGGGTGAACTGGAGTAATTACGTTTCACTGGAGTCAAGGTTTCAGTAATGTGTAAACAGCAAATCTGGTAAAGACTAAATGTTTTCCCTTGTCAGGCCCTCTGTGCTGCAACACTGACAAGGGGTAATCAAGCCAGAAAATCCAGACGAACTATCTCAGCCAACACCGAATCGAACATTGGACCTCTAGGTTAGCGAGCCATTGTCTTACTCACTGAGCCACCGTGGCTCCAGCATCAATTCAACAATATACATACCTGTCGTTATTCTCAATAGTTGAAAGTTTTTACAAACTGCTGATAACACAGAAATACCCCTTTGTGATGTCATCTTTCTACAAAAAATAAAATGGAATGTCAATACAATAATAGAATCATTTATCATTTAAAGATACATTAGTTAAGAGTTTAATAAAGAGTTGACCATTCTTGCTATAATAATTCAAAAATGGATGGTAAAAAAAGAAAATATTGAACATTTCTGTCAAATTACTTTATTCTGAACAGAAATCAAATGAAATGAAATGGGGTTTGGTTTAACGTCCTACTGTTCTGCTCCTATACTGGACTAATGAAGACGGGCATACGCCATACAGTGTGCTAGGGAAATTTTGCCCGTGCAGCGGCACTATTGCCTACTCTTATACCGAATTCCAACTGCCAGGGGATCTTTTACGTGCATTCCAATATATACACGGGACCTCGGTTTTTCGTCCCATCTGAACGACTAGACAGCTGTCCTTGTCAGGCCCTCCGTCCTGCATCACTGACAAGGGGGAACCACGCCCGAAAATCTGGATGAACTTTCTTGGCAAATGCAGGGATCGAACACCCGACCTCCAGGCTAGCGAGCCAGCGTCTTACCCACTTAGCCACGTAATCCCCCTATTCTGAACGGAGTTGTCACTGTTGGAAGTTTGGACTAGAAATAGACATCAACTGTGTCTGTACCATCTACGAGAATTGCCGATCGTTTGACTGACAGGGGTTAACTCCACCCACATATTCTCAATTATCAAGTAAGATTCTCAATGGCTATGGTACCCTCGCTTCGTAGGCCTTTCATCACCAGTTTCCAGTAGTGACCTTTTGGTGACTAACGGTAAGCGTTAGCTTGGTAGGCCATTCCTTGATTTAATTTTAAATAGACGACTGTATAAATCCAAGCTGTACCCAAACCATCTGAGGGTCTGCAGAGTTGATTTTAAGCTGCAATAGGCAGATTTAGCTCTTGCATAATGTACATGTATGTTTAAGTAAATGAAGTATATACATGTAAGCGTATAATTACTGTTTTTAGTGTTGTGGTGATTTATGAAGCATTTATCCTTTCTATAAATAAACTAGTCATGTCTGTTGAAATCAATTTATTTGAAGCACAGTGTCGTGTCATGAGTACCAATAGTTTTGTTACTGGTAACTGTGACATGTTCATAGTCATTATAGTCCATCACATTAACGGTAATGCTGGGTGTAAAGAAAATTTTCAAGTGAAGTATCATCAGGGAAACATTTCACAATACTAACCAATACGAAACACACACATACTTCGGTACCGTATTATTAAGAAAAAATGACAGAATAATCATAAATAAAAATGAGTTGATTTGTGGAAAACTTACAACAAAAAATAAAGTAACTTAGTCCTATATACAATGTACATGTAAAGGGGTAGAATGTGATGGTCCATGTCTTGTGTAGTCCAGCTCTGAATGTAGGTCTCATTGCACTCACCTCTACGTCCAGGGAAGCTAGCATTGAATCAATGTCGAACGTAAACGACCGCCCCAGTCAATTTTACTGGGCAACTTTTTACTGCGAAACGGTCGCGTGTCAGTCCCTGTGAACGCCTGAACAATATAAATGAACATCTTAGTGAGAAAATAAGACCTTGCTTACCTCGCTAGAGTCAGTATGAGCGACACAACACGCTGTTAAAAAATACGTCTCCGTCTTCTAACCGACTTGGCAGACATCATTGAAAGGGTAACGCATAAATTTAAGAACTCGGCCATATAAGATGAAACGAAATTTAAGTAAGCCTGGTGCGAAAAAATTGGGATTTTTGAAAGAATTTGATTGTAAATTATTGTAATTTAGCTAGGCAAAGCAATAAATCACTGAAGATTCTCAATTTTTCAAAGATTTCATTTTTTTTTCTCCCAGGCTTACTTAAATTTCGTTTCATCTTATATGGCCGAGTTCTTAAATTTATGCCAAGTCGGTTAGAAGACGGAGACGTATTTTTTAACAGCGTGTTGTGTCGCTCATACTGACTCTAGCGAGGTAAGCAAGGTCTTATTTTCTCACTAAGATGTTCATTTATATTGTTCAGGCGTTCACAGGGACTGACACGCGACCGTTTCGCAGTAAAAAGTTGCCCAGTAAAATTGACTGGGGCGGTCGTTTACGTTCGACATTGATTCAATGCTAGCTTCCCTGGACGTAGAGGTGAGTGCAATGAGACCTACGTTCAGAGCTGGACTATGTCTTGTGCAATCTGATTCAAATACAGACATATATTTCGTTTCCTTTTTTTTTATGCTTTTGATGGCCGACACTACATGAAGATCTGACCAGTTGTACTAGAAGGTCACATCAGGGGTCGTACAAGGGTTTTTTGACCCTATGACGTTAGACATTGTTTAATTAATCAGCGTTGACGTTTCTAGTGGTTTACCCACAGTTTTGTGCATCCTACAACAAGAAGTCGCTGTAATAGATGGTTTCATTGGCTATATAATCCCTCACGCTATCCAGAACACAGGTTATATAACATTAACAATTCTTCCAGATACATGTACTAGTGTAGTACAGACAAAACAAAATTTTGAACTGTAAAAAACGAAACGAAATAGGACCTGTGTTTTAATCAGATTGATGTCTTGTGAGGCAAAGTTTATTGTAATAACTAATTGAGTGAAATGAAATGGTGGTTTAATTAATGTGCTACTTTTCTGTTCCGGCTGGGGCTAACGTAGGACCACTCTTATTTCAAATAGCAACTGTCAAGGATTTTTTAGGTTTCTTTTATGTGCACGACAATGTGTACACGGACCTCGGTTTTTGGTCTCATCCGAACGACTATACGTTGTTCTCTGGTCAGGCCCTCCGTGCCGCAGCACCACTGACCATTCTATCCGTGAAACCACGCCTCAAGTTTGTGGACTGACATGTTTTAAAAGGGGGGACTTTATCACCGCGTATTTCTAGGGGTTTAGAAATGTAATCAAAAACTTACTCTTCTATCAAGGGAAGAAAATACCAAAAACTTCAAAGAGAAAAAGTTATTCCATGGGCGCAGACATCTTTGAAATATCCTCTAAACTAAAATGTTCCACTTGTAATAAAATTACAAAGAAATAAATACAATTGATGAAAGAACCATAATTTTGCTAACACCAGTCTAAAATAATCTTTTGTTGACAAATTTTCTAATTTAAATAATAATTGTAGCAAGTTTTTGTCCAACGACCTTCAACTCTGACCTGACTAAAAATAATATCAACAAATCCTTCTCGTGACTGTGACCGTAGGTGCTTTGGGATCATCAAAAACTGCAATTAGTGAGGCGAATTTCAATTCTGCTAATTTTCTAACAGGTGTAAGACGTCAAGATGAATCCACCGAACTTAGTCCTAAAGGTAAATTTAATCATAAAGCTTCATTTGCAACGTATGCAGTAAAATTATTTATGCGTAAAAATTGAAAGACAGGAAATGAGGAAACGACAGATGTTCACAAGGGCGATGATATTCACACGGATGCTATTTATTATAATAATATATAAATTAATTATCGATAGATTCAATCAATTAGGTTATTTTTTACTGTATAATTTAGCACATTGAATAATAAAGTATAAGCTACTAAGTAAAATGCTAGTCTTTTGGAGAGGCCTACATCATGTTAATTGAAGGTGGTAGACTGAAATTAATTACATGGTTTTTTTTACATTACATTATTATTATCTCATATTATTAGAGTAATAAAGTTGGCCTACATGTCTATATAATTTACATAACACTGTGTCTTTTAAATTGCCTCAAGCATGCTCACTCGGTATTGAGACCACGCCACTACAAATGTATTAAGACCAAATCTCGATAGTCCCACAGGTGGTCTTAATAGAGGGATTTCACTGTAGTTCCACTGACTGTTCCAGTCCGTTCTTGACACTTTATTCAAGTAGAATTTTGAATTGAATCGTAAAATTCTACTTGAAATCAGATGTGCCAGATGCCTCGAGAAATAATTCCTTTTGGCACACAAAGAAGAATTACGGTGAAAAATAGAATATACAGACTCCAAAATAACGTTAAAACAGAGGTGGAGGTAAAGCAGTATTTTCAAATTGCAGTTTAAAAATAAACGGAAAAGCTTCATAAAGTTTTTAAATAATGCAAGTAATTATGTCAACATATCCTTTCCATAGTATAACACAAACCCAAATGTCATTGTTATGGTCTTGTTGTGTTGATAAATGCCTAATTAATAGTTTATATAACATTTAAGACGATCTTTTAGAGGCATTTAGTAACTGGATAGAGCAATAAACTATAACACATACTTATGGAAAAACAATTACTGATTTATTTGAAAACGTTGAGAGAATACTCTTCGAAACGTCGCCCAAATAAATCAGTAATTGTTCTTCCATAAGTATGTGTTATAGTTTATATAACATTTAAGACCTAAAGAAAGACCTGCAATAGGCAGATTTAGCTCATGCATCATGTATGTTTAATATGATTTAGCTCATGCATCATGTATGTTTAATTAAAATTTTACTAAATTTAAAACGTATCTTGAATCCAGATAATCTTGTGACTTGTCAATAACACTATGAGACCTCTCCATAAAATAGAGAGATTCCATTTTATTTCAATAATTCGCTTGTGCGTAGTGGTCTTTAGCAGTGAGAGGAAACCGGAAGACCTGGAGAAAACCCACGAGGTTGGACAGCCGACCCTACTCCTTGTCACGTACAACGGGGGAATAAAAACCATGTCACTTGACTTAATGACAGACACGCTAACCATTCGGCCATCCAATCCCCCTCTAAATAAAAAACGTGTTTGTTTCCTAAATCATTTTATCATGCAATTCAGTGTTCAATTACATAACAATATCATTTTTACCATTTTATAGTCTCTATCATCCAGAAAAAATATTCTACGATTATTAGTCTGGATGTGCTGTCAACATTTGAGAATAATAGGTCATTGGCTAGATTATCCAGTCTTTAACATTAACATAGACAAAAGTCTAAGGGAGGTAACTAGTCCTAAAACAAGATGTTGACGCCCATGAAATTATTTTATTGCATTGCCAGTTTAATATCTAACACTCTTATTTTTTTTTATTGTAAAATTTATCTCTTCATGGGCCATATATATGTTTTTTTAAAATTAATCCTAATTCGTTGTCACGATTCATGTTTGTTTATATTAATGCAAGAATTATGGGATTTTTGTTGGAAGGGGAACAACTCTTACTTGACTTAGCCAAAGATACTGGATAATTAACTACATTATAAACCAAACTCCTGATTACGCATGGGAATTTGACTTTTCATCAAATATTAACAACGGTCCCAGACCCTCCGTACGTTGACGACTAGGAGGTTCTGGTTTTACTCGTCTTTACCACAGTAGGATCTCGAAGAGTTGTTATATAACTTTTGTTTTGGTTAATGTGAGGGATTAGCCAATGAAACGGTCTGTTACGGCGAGTTCTTGGCGTGTGGTGCACAGCACTGTGGATACCCCACTAGAAACATCAACGCTGATTGGTCTGACGTCATAGGGTCAAAAGCCGCTTGTATGATCCCTGACTCGACCATCCACTACACCCAGTCAGATCTTCATGTAGTGTAGGCCATTGAAAGTATAAAGAAATGTAACGATATATAGATCTGTATTGTAATCAGATTGATGTTCAATTAGATAACAATATCATTTTAATGATGATAAATATACTGATGTCCAAAAGAAGGTATACACTGTGCATTTTGTGCCGCATCAACCAAAGTCGTTTTTCCATGGTATACGGTATTTGGGTAGAATGTCAATTTGTTTCACATTTTTATTTTGCTTAGAAATGTTAAGTTTGGACGCAAGAGACAAACTCAGTAATGCTTTATCAAATGTTTTTAATCTAAACAAAACTTAGTCATACTTTTAGTGTGTATACTTTCTTTTGGACATTAGTATATTTCCTGGACGTGATATAAATATTCACGCTGGAAGGATGTAAAGTTTTATTGTTAGTGGATATATTTTATTATATATATATATATTGTATTAATTTCAGGTGATTGTTTTCACACACTTTATATTATCCATGTGGTAAGATTCAACTTTTATTACAAATATGACTTTTATAACAAATATGACTTTATTACGAATGTGACTTTTATTACAAATACAACTTTCATTACACATATGACTTTTATTACAAATATGACTTTTATTCCAAATATGACTTTTATTACGTTTCATATGCGATATACATGTAGCACTGGCCTATTGACCAGAATGGCGTAGTTCGGTTTCTGGCGTGGGCCTGAGAAGAACAGTTAAAGTTGTTTGGATGGGACAAAGCACACTGTATGGTGTATGCACCTTCTTCAATCAATTAAGATCCCTGGGGGCAGGTTCAGCAGGCATCAGAAATTCCACGTGTTAAAATGAACAATTATGTATTGGTATCTGATAAAGGACAATCCAGACCGAAACACTATCCCATTAAACACAGAATCTGTTTTTATTGAGTTTGGGGAAGAAAAAGAAAGAGTTTAAGGTCCACTGGACACAAACTAGGTCATTTTGGGACTAACATATGGTTCAATTTTATTTCTATAATTCGCTTGCGCTTAGGGGTCTTTAGCAGTGGGAGGAAACTGGAGGACCCGGAGAAAACCCACGAGGTTGGTCAAATAAATAGATTCTATTGTTATGATAGTTATTATAAAAAAAAAGAATAGTAGGTCTCATGTTTAGTTAATAAAGAAGAAGATTGATCAGCTTTTAAAATTGATTAAATATTTACCTTAAATATTCCACTTGCCAAATCTTAGCACTTTTTCTCCTGTTAACAACTTGTATTGTTAAAATGAATTCATCATATTTGATCATTCAACTAACAATAACCACTGTTTTTTTATATTTTTTCAGGGCATCTCAGTCTCCAGTATTTCTACCTACATCCTATATTTATCTCAACGCGTTTGTTTTAGCGTTTGGTTTTATTGGTATTTTTAACCACGAATCAAGTGATGCCATTTTATTGGTGAGTTTAACGATGTTAAAGTTATTTTAAAGTAGCTAAGTCTCTAACTCAGTATCATCAAAAATCTTCGACGATGAAAACGCGAATTATTTGTCAATTTAAATCAACATTGGTGTTGTGATCTTACTGGGAACAGGTGGGCTTATGATATCCAATATTTAAGACAAAATAAACATTTTACCATTGGTACACGAATCGTGTACCATAATGCGTTTCAGCGTAATTTGTAATAAGGGACTCAAACTAAGAGGCTAGGTATATTTCACCAGTCATGTCAGACGGTGACACCATATTCTTTTCTATTGAGCATTCGCAATAAATACTACTGGTGTAGACTGGAATAACCAGACGCCAAATACCACCATCCAATTTGGACTCTTCGCGTATTTCGCCGAACATAACTAATTAGAAATTACAGTAGAAACAGAAACGACTGAATGAATGTAAATCAGTTTATATACATTCATATTACATTATTATACGCATTGCAACCCATTTGTGTCAATTTCTAGGTCCCAAATATTAGTGATTTAGCTCCTTTAAAGCCTGATGAAAAAATACTTCGGTTCTCAGTTAATCCTGCGTTGCATTGATTGTATCTTGTCAATATAGGAAATAACCCTATATTTAAGAATAATTGAATGAATCCAGATATGTGCCATAGTGCTAAATATTATAAAGTATATACAACCTAAATAAATGTTATTGTCTGTCGGGGATCACGTGGCTAAGTGGGTAAGACGCTAGCTCGCTAGCCTGGAGGTCGGGTGTTCGATCCCTGCATTGGCCGAGAAAGTTCATCCAGATTTTCCGGCGTGGTTCTCCCTTGTCAGTGATGCAGGACGGAGGGGCTGACAAGGAAAGCTGTCTAGTCGTTCGGATGGGCCGAAAAACCGAGGTCCCGTGTATACATTGGCGTGCCTGTAAAAGATCCCTTGGCAGTTGGAATTCGATATAAGAGTAGGCCGTAGTGCCGCTGTCCGGGCAAAATTTCCCTCATAGCACACTGTATGGCGTATGCCCGTCTTCATTAGCCCAGGTTAGGAGCAGAACAGTAGGACGTTAAACCCCATTTCATTTCATTTTCATTTCGTTATTGTCTGTCATAAATGATAAGGGGTGGGGGAGTTGAGGGGAATGATCGAATGGTTAGCATGCACGCGCTGTATCATAAAGTCTGTCATTGAATCAACTGACGTGGTACAAATGCACGCGCTAACCATTCGGCCACCCAGCCCCCCCTTTCCTCATAGGTGCAGAAAAGTAGACATTAGAATTCTGGTATAATTGATTACTCACCACTGCTGATGAAAGTAAACAGTTGTAAACCCAACTCTCACTGTCTAATCCAGACAGACCATTTTAAACTATAGTGGCAACCCAATAGTTTGTCATGATTCTCAATGAATTTTAAAGTAGCGAAGTCTCTAACTCAATATCATCAAAAATCTTCGACATTGAAAACACGAATTATTTGTCAATTCAAATCAACATTGGTCTTGTGATCTTACCGGGAAAAGATGGGCATCTGATATCCAATATTCAAGACAAAATAAACATTTTACCATTGGTACACGAATCGTGTACAATAATGCGTTACGGCGCCATTTGGAACAAGGGACGCAAAGAACGAGGCTAGACATATTCCACAAGTCATGTCAAAGGTTGACGCTATATTCTTATCTGGAGAGCATGCGCAATAAATACCATCGGTGTAGACTGGAATAACCAGACGCTAAAGGTTGTCATTTAATTGAGACTTTGGCGCATTTCGCCGAACATAACTGATTAGAAATTACAGTAAAAACAGAAACGATTGAATGTAAATCAGTTTACATACATTCCTATTACATTATTATATGCGTTCCGACCCATTTGTGTCAATTTCTAGGTCCCATATACATGTATTAGCGATTTAGCTCCTTTAACTATTTGCCAACAATGGTTTGAAACTTAACATTAATTACAGAAATTCCTGCTAGAACAGCACAACTACACGATTCTTGAGTTGTAATGATATGGTAATCGATAAACCACATTTCATTTTTTAAGGACATGAAATGAAATGAGGTTTAATGTCCTACTCTTCTGCTCCTATTGGGCTAATGAAGACAGGCATATGCCATTCAGTGTGCTTTGAGAGAAACTCCAACTGCCAAGGAATCTTTTGCGTATACACCAATGTATACACGAGTCCGAGGTTTTCCGTCCCATTCGAACAACTAGACAGCCGTTCTTGTCAGGCCCTCCGTTCTGCACCACTGACAAAGGGAAACCATGCCGGAAAATCCTGATGAACTTTATCGGCCAATGCATGGATCAAACACACGACCTCCAGGTTAGCGAGCCAACATCTTACCCACTTAGCCACTGTGGCTCCCTTTTTTTTTTTTTTTTTTTAAACAGAAAATGTTGAGAGTATTATTACTGCTATGGTGATTTATTTATATTTCAGTTTATCGTAGGATTGTTGATCAGTATCGTACAAGATATTATATTTCTAGGAATTTACGAACCACGCGGTCAAGCACTTAGTAGTAAGTACATACTATTTAATTACCATGAGTTATTTTATTAGAAATTGGCGTACATATAGTAGTAACTTCTAGAAGGTCACGTGAGCTTCATTCATTGATGACTTAGTGAACAGAGGTTTAGAATATACATAGCTACATCTAATATACATGTAGCTCATACACACATGGCACCACTACATCTAATATAGCTCATAGACACAAGACACCACTACATTTAATGTAGCCCATAGACACAAGACACCACTACATAGCTTATAGACACAAGACATCACTACATCTGATATAGCTCATAGACACAAGACACCACTACATCTGACATAGCTCATAGACACAAGACACCACTACATAGCTTATAGGCACAAGACACCACTACATCTAATATAGCTCATATACACAAGACACCACTACATAGCTTATAGACACAAGATACCACTACATCTGATATAGCTCATAGACACACGACACCACTTCATCTAATATAGCTCATAGACACAAGACACCACTACATCTAATATAGCTCATAGACACAAGACACCACTACATCTAATATAGCTCATAGACACAAGACACCACTACATCTAATATAGCTCATAGACACAAGACACCACTACATAGCTCATAGACACAAGACACCACTACATCTAATATAGCTCATAGACACAAGACACCACTACATCTAATATAGCTTATAGACACAAGACATCACTACATCTGACATAGCTCATAGACACAAGACACCACTACATCTGACATAGCTCATAGACACAAGACACTACTACATAGCTTATAGGCACAAGACACCACTACATCTAATATAGCTCATATACACAAGACACCACTACATAGCTTATAGACACAAGACACCACTACATCTGATATAGCTCATAGACACAAGACACCACTTCATCTAATATAGCTCATAGACACAAGACACCACTACATCTAATATAGCTCATAGACACAAGACACCACTACATCTAATATAGCTCATAGACACAAGACACCACTACATAGCTCATAGACACAAGACACCACTACATCTGACATAGCTAATAGACACAAGACACCACTACATCTGACATAGCTCAGAGACACAAGACACCACTACATGTAATATAGCTCATTGACACAAGACATCACTACATCTAATAAAGCTCATAGACACAAGAGAGAGAGAGAGAAATGGGGTTTAACGTCCACTCGACACAAACTAGGTCATTTCGGGACTAACATATGGTTTAATTTTATTTCAATAATTCGCTTGCGCATAATGGTCTTTAGCAGTGGGAGGAAACCGGAGGACCCAGAGAAAACCCACGGGGTCATAGACACAAGACACCACTGCTATGACACGATTTAAAGTATTCCAATACACCGGTCACAAAACTATGAAATACGATTAATGTTTATCAATGCCATAGAAACAATTGAAATTCTGAAATTATTACAATTTTGATTTTATATTATTTTCAGGGGGACATGATGTTCTAGGTGAATTTAGATTTTCACTTGGGTATCCTTTCAAAATATAGTTAACACAGGGATGCCATTAAGAATAACAGTACAAATGTTATGAGTACAGCCTGTATCATTACAGGTACCGGACTGTACAGAAGAGTGGATGCTTACAACTGGCCCCTCGGATCAATTCGTTTGATTTGATATTTTTTTGTTTATTTCTTGCATTGTCTACATATAGTGTGTCTTTTCCACAGGTTTGTCTTATAGGTTTTGTTTTCTTAAAGATACATTATGGAAGATTAGATCAAGAGTTGGCAGTTCTCACTATAATAGTTACAAACTAGATAACGTAAAGGCAATTTGCTGAAAATTTCATTCAAATTGATCCACTATGAACCAAGAACTAATCGGTCATCATTACTAAAATCAGTACGATAAACAGCATAGTCTCGATTATCCATTTAATTGTTTAATCGAGAAGGAAAGTTATGCAGTAAATCAGCTCACAATCCACTTAAGATCGCAGGCTAGCGATGCCATCTGGAGTTGATTATGGTCTGGATAAGTTAATTAATGTCTAATTAATAATTTAGATAACATTTCAGTCCTAAAAAAGACCTCCAATAGACAGATTTAGCTCTTGCATAATGTATGTTTAAGGCTGAGTCACACTAGTGGATTTATCCTTTAAGACAAATCCTAGCAAAAGTCTTAAAGGATAAATCCTCTAGGTTTTTGTGGTCATACAATAAGTAAAATCCTATGGGTTTTGGTCATGTGACACAGCAGAAATGTAAATGCACCTTTTCTCGTGTTTTTGGTAATCTCTAGATTAAACCGACCACCGCACGTTTTGGCAGTTGAAATAAAAAAAGAACTCTCTGTTTCAGCTCGTTTGAGTTCAGCGTCAGACATCTTGAGGAAATGCGCACTTGCATTTGATTGGTCAATTCATAGGAAAAATTGTACGTGAACAGCATGTGTTTTAAACCTAAGGATTTATCCGTCGGTCAGAAAATCTATAACCTATAGGACAAATTTTCGCGTTCACATGAAAGGATTTAACTTATGGAAATAAAACCTCAGGATCAATCCACTAGTGTGACTCAGCCTTAATAGTGCTTTATTCTGCACATACTAGTATATCTATTGTACCAGTAGAGAATTATTTTGTGTTTTATTTAATGTCTTGGTATACTCTTTACCAGACGTCCGTATTGATACAGAAATTTTGTTTCCTTGACATAATGAAGTATGTGTATTTTAAATCTTATAATAAAACCTGTCACGATGTTCCTGTTATTACGTATACTCCGTTCTAGAACAACAGACTATGATAGATTTAATATTCCCGGAGTTCCAAATATACCAGGATTTGGAGCAGGTAAGTCCAGGTGTTTATGTAAGTAAGTACCATGTACCTGAGGTTCGAAAATTTACATGCTTTCGAAGCAGGTACATGTACATCACAGGGTTTTGTTAATTATAAATAGAATATGTGGATTTAGTCATATTTGTTTACTAGTAAAACAGTTGGGGGGGAGGGGATGGTTCGGATACTGAAATCACTAACAGAATGAGAAAGGCCACTGCTCGGGCAAAAGGCACTCCCTCTTAAAGTAAGATGTGACTCCTGTATTATAAGGTTGGCAGAGATAATCATAATGAGGCTTTTCTGTTATAAAGCCAAAGCTTGTTGAATTATGTTTATACAGCCACTTCTATGTGGCCGTATACGTATATTGTCATCACCCCCGTCTGTCCGTCTGTTAGTATCCGATTGACTTTAAATTTATACATAGTGTTTAAGGTCATGAAACAAAAAAGCCTATTGATTTTCAATGAGTTCAGATAATTACTGCCATAGTTATGGCCCTTGATCACTTTGAAAAATTTTGTTGATGCTCTAGAGGCTAAAGTTAATATAAATGTTTCAAGGTCATGAGAGAAACAATCAAAAGAAATCTAGTGATTTCTTATAATTACATAATGGGTTCTTACTTGTAACAAGATTTTCGTGTGTTGTAAATGCGACAGCCCTTGTTGACTGCCCGGACGACTTAGCTACTCTGGGCGTATGTTTTTTTTTTAATGATAAACATTTTCCCAAATGGAAATACTGGCAGTTTATCGTCCACAATTACATGTAGATGACATAGAGGCTAAAGCTATCATCCGATTGACTTGGAATTTATTCAGTGATTTCCGACAATTAATGTCAGAGTTATGGTCCGTGATCACATAGAAAAAAATCGTGTGGATCCTCTTCAGACTTAAAGTTGTGATTTGCTTGACTTTTTGGATCAGGCGTTCGTTTCGTTGCCTGGCAACCTATGTTTTTGTTTGGTTATTTCAGGTGCTGCAAGTGGAGGAACGTATGAAAATATCGACCAACCGTCACCGTATCGTGATCCTACCGTACCAAATTATGACAATAACGAAAAATCCGGACCATTACCATAAAAACAAGTCTCATCATTATACGATTTCCATTTGAATTCAATTTCATATTTTCACGGTGGACAAATACTTTTAGTAATAACTATGTATATAATAGGCTTGTTTCGGACCAAAGATTAACATCATTCTTATTTTTGTCACAATGTCAAAGGTCAGTCGTGGTTCCGTTCAGATAATCTTAGTAGGAAATAGTTAAAATATTATTTTGTGAACATCTATAATGAATTTACCTTAAAATATTTCTATATCCGGATGCTCATTTCAATATTTTGTCTGACAATATTTGTATTTTTTTTACGTCCAACCAGACAAGAATAATTTTATTTCAGGCAATATTAGTTCTATCAATTTTTCCACCAATTTTTTGCACATATGGTTTTATGGTTAAAATAACTAACGATGGGTGAATTCTCTAGTTGGCCAGTTTTACGTCAAGTCAATCAGTGAGATAAGGCTGGCAGATGTGACAGAAACGATAGCTGTGTCAGAATTGTGCAAAAAGACATACAGTATAAAATAATATAGGCCTATGATGGCAGTATATTTAATTATAGTAGTTCATACTGTCAATACATTGTATTTTGTAAAACAGTCCATGGATATTTACAGCTTTATATTATATCTTTTGGGTGATAGGCTTACAGGACTATTTGTTTGAAGGTAGGTGGCGGGGGAGGGGGCACAGGTTCATAGACTGGAATTTCTCGATTTTTGACCGAATGTCACCAGATACAGATTTAACCGAATATTTCAAAGAGTGATGTTGACAGTTTTTGAATTGAAGGATATGGGTATTGATAATATTGGACTCGAATGTTAGTTTTGAAGATTCTTGTTTGGATTTTTCCCCTAATATTTAAAGGTGTTCAGTAGAATAGTTGCCTGAATTTCTTTGACCACCTTGTCCACATATTAGGTTGCCTGATTATTGTGCATCTCCCCACCCCCCACCTACTCTGGTTCATACGCCACTGTATGGGAGGTACATCATTGTTTGTGGTTGCTAACACTGTAACAGAAA